TTGTCTCTTTTGCAGATGCATTCTGCATCCAAATGATTTTTATTTTCAGTGATTCACTTGGTCTGCTCCTCAGCCTAATTTGCATTCAGTGTTTGACCCAAGCTGTAATCTACAATGACTCTCTCATAAGCCTCTGGCACTTTGGGGAGATGTTACAAACCGTGACCAAAGACAAGAGGCGCTAAAGCAAACTGAATGTATGATTAGCTATTAGCTGTAAATATGCTCTTAGCTACAATTTCATATCAGTGTCTGAATAGAGTGGCACATTTTTGGGGAAAAAAAATCAAATCTAATTGTGATAAGTGCTGCATTTTTGTTTAAAGGATTCAATTAACCGTGCACATTTTAAACTCGAGATTTAACATTAGAAAGAAAAATAACTGCTAAACTAAGAAGGATCAATAAGGTCTGTTCTAAACTATACAATTTTTTTTGTAGTTGATTATACCATATTACCTAAATAGTGCATATTTTGTAATTTTATGATTACTATTCAAATTACATTTTTGACTGTAATACAGTGTGCTGCTCCATTTTGAGTCCTGTATCTGGATTATTAGAATTTTTGAAAGTATGTATTGGAAAATTGTATGCGGTTGTATGCCTGTTAGGGATGCACTGATCCAATACTGGTATTGGATATCTGCACCAATAATGTAAAATTTGCAGGATCAGATATCACTTCCAAATATCGATTCAGCCTGTATCCTGTTTGAACATATAAATTGATGTAATAAGTAGTGCTGTCATGCGATTAAAAAAATTGAGAGATTAATTAATTATGATCTGTAATTAATTAATCTAATTAATCTCATTTTAATCTCACCTAAAAATTGCTGAGAAAAGCCTTCAATTTGAGGTATTTTCATTTAAATTCATTATTACATTATTGTGGCAGATCAAAAGACTGATATAGATTAAAAAAAGTGACTTTATAAAGTCATTTATTGTTTAACAAATCTCTCCAAATTGTCTGTTGAGCCCAAGTCTCCATGAATAAGAAACTGTTTGCTGTAAAGTAGCAAAGACGAGGAAATCTGAACATAATAACTTTTGTCTACTTAAAGACAATAAAAAGATCTTTCCTTAACCATATTAAAAATATTATTGATAGAGAAATGCTTTATATATGAGATCACTGGTTTTAGTCCAGGTTTAGACCTGCTTTAGTCCTACTTTAGTCCTGGAATGGATTAATCCTGGTTTTAGTCCTGGTGTTAGTTCTGGTTTAGTCCTGGTTTAGTCCTGGTTTAGACCTGGTTTTAGTTCTGGTTTAGTCCTGGTTTAGACCTGCTTTAGTCCTAGTTTAGTCCTGGAATGGATTAATCCTGGTTTTAGTCCTGGTGTTAGTTCTGGTTTAGTCCTGGTTTAGTCCTGGTTTAGACCTGGTTTTAGTTCTGGTTTTAGTTCTGGTTTAGTCCTGGTTTAGTCCTGGTTTAGACCTGGTTTTAGTTCTGGTTTTTAGTTCTGGTTTTAGTCCTGGTTTAGACCTGGTTTTAGTTCTGGTTTTAGTTCTGGATTTAGTTCTGGTTTAGTCCTGGTTTAGTCCTGGTTTAGACCTGGTTTAGTCCTGGTTTTAGCCTTGGTGTTAGTTCTGGTTTAGAGGCGCACAGGAGGAAGCGCGGTTTACGCAGCGTACCTGAGAAAACACGGTCCACACGCGGCTCACAGGAGGACAGCGGTGTTCGCGCGGTGTCTACGGAAGGAAACGTGGTCCGCGCGTTCTCAGGTTAATGAAGATGATGGTGTGTGTTTGTGTTTGTGTGTGTTTGTGTGTGTTTGTGTTTGTGTGTGTTTGTGTGTGTTTGTGTGTGTGTGTGTTTGTGTTTGTGTGCGTGTCCCCTCATGTGGCAGGTCATTATAGGACAGTAGTGCAGACACCATGAGCCTATGCAGGTTGTTTTCAGGCGATATTATATTTGTTATTTTCTTTTATATTTCACGTCGGGAGAATAATTTCCAAGACACGAATGTGTTTTTACCTGTGCGCTGCTCTGTTCTACTGGCTCTTCGACCTGACGCCGCCAACTTTAACATGATGTTTATATCGCTCTTATGCGCGCGTTTTGTGTGGGTTTCCGGCAATGAGTGGAATTACCGAAATAAAAAAAATTATAAATGTGTTTTGTGTGTGTGTGTGAGTGTGTGTGTGTGTGTGTGTGTTGTTGTTGTCCCAACAATACATAAAAACAGATTTTATAATAAAGCGACTCGCATACAGAAACAGTAAAGTTAGAGATTAAAAATGACACCCCTAGTAATAAGACTGGCTTATTCATACAAAGTTGTTTTATGGTCATTTGAGAAATGTATAACAGCTACATCACATATTTGGATCAGTTTTGTCTTAAGTTAATTTTGTTATTAAGAAATAATGCAATTTTCCTACACTGGTATCAGTTAATATCGGGTATCAGCAGATATTCAAAACGATAATATTGGAATTGGTATTGGAACTGAAGAAGGTGGATTGATGCATCCCCAGTTATAAACACTATATTTGCTGTGTCACACAATATAATGAAGTAAAAATATTACCTCCATCAGCATGTCCGCATGTGTGCAATTTTAAATTGTCATCTTGCATTGCTGTAGTGCACAAATCCTCTGCATATAAACAGACACGTGCAGTTTGTATACAGATTGAAAAGACTGCCTGCTCTCCTAAAGGTGAACCAGAAAACAAGTGCATTTTAAGCTGGGTTCATATTCACATTGGAGAAAGAAGCCCTATTAGCATAAATGCAGAGAGAGGCTTTGCATACTTGAAAACCTCTCAGCCAGTCTACTAGAAATAGCCATGCACACAACACCCTCTGATTACATTGATATGTAGATTCATGCATCTGCAAAGATTAGTTATTCATTAATGTGTTTGCTGAATTCTCGGGTGAGTGTACCTTAGACACAAGTCTGGGTCACACCAAATGCATCACGGGAAATATTGTCATGTCTAATTGACGTAAAACATGCCAATGGTCAGGTGAAACAACACCTACACACTGTGGAAATCTTAACTGACATAAAGGTGCATACGTATATTTTCTGGAGGACAGGCTCTGATGATACTGCTTTGTCTGGCAAATTCCACAGAATGTAAGCATGTAATCACATGAAAGGCCAAGTTACAAGCTCATAGTGAGAATGTATGTTATTCATGGTAATTTTTGAGCAATAACGAACCGGTAATTGAAAAAAAAAAAGCAAGAAAGATACGTTTAATGCCATACTGTGGGACATTCAAGGCAGAGTATAGACCTACTCATGAAGACAAGCAGATGCCAAACCCCTCACCAGAAATGTTACATAATGCATCTTTAATTTTGTAGCTTTAAATAGACTACATTTTTTGTGAGTTTTTTGGGCTTCTAGCAGTCTCTGTCAACCCTCCACAAAAGCATTATGGATCACCAGTTTGTGTCCCCTATTGCAGCTTCACTGTGAGCACTTTTTAGCTTTAAAAATAGGCTCACAAAAGCTCCAGTGGAATAGCTAAACACCAAACAATGTCCTTTTACCCAGACCTGGCCAAAACTGGAGCGTGTCAGAAGGGACCATTCTGCAAAGGAAAGAATAGTTGCACACTTATCACATGCATACAGATTGTACAGGACCACCACCCACCAATTCAAAAGAGGTTATGAAAAAAGCTTAGTCTGAAATATAGGTCACATTAAAAACCACTGAAAACCTGTTCATGTTTTTTTTTTTTAACTGCACTTAAACGTTCCTGTTATGTGATGTTACAGTAAACTTTTCTTCATGAGAAGTTTGCTGTGTGTACAGGCTACTCCTGGACATAGCCTGATTATGTCTTTGTCTAATAATTGGGACCTGAAGTTTCTAAATTTGGACAACGCTAATACCAGGGAAGCGTGGATGACTTGCAAGGTAGGTGAACATATTTTGGGAAAAGTAGCATAGAGATTTAATATTGCATTTTAACAGCAAAAAGAAAACACTTACTTGCTAAAGTTTCGCACGTGGTCTGGAGAAGATAGTACATGTATGCTAACTTAGGCTGACTAGAATTTCAAAATTAAAAAACTGGGACATTCCTGTTTTTTGGTGGTTTGCAATAATAAAATTGTGAAACGAATGCGTAATTAAAGAAAACTGTTATCTACAGACCACTCATGACTAAAGTGTGAGTCAGTATAGTCACGTTTTCTTTGTTTTGGTCGTTGTTTTGGTTGTTTTTAGACAGATGACGATATTTGCTTCTTTTTACTGTTGGCTGGTATCAAATTGGTCAAAAATAGGGACACCTGGGACATTTCTTGTACAGTATAAAACTGGGACAAATCAGTGGTTTTGGACAAATCTGCTGGGACGGGGACAGAGGGCTTAAAACTGTAAATTGGGACGTTTGGTCAAAATGCTAACAAGTTATGCTAGCAGTCAACTTATCCACAAAAACAAGTTTACTACTGGAAAATATTTCTTTCGTTGTTTGAAACTTTTAAAGTATCTACTATAGTCTGACTGTGTAAAATACATAACTTAGATAGTGTCTATGGAAGATAAAACTTTCATAAACTAGTTAAAATTTGACTATAAATTACACAGTTCAAGCTCATTGAAATCAGAAGGATCTGTATCAGTCTGTAATATTGGCTCATTGAAAAGGGTAGGTCAAATCATTAAAATACAGTTATGTAGGGCAAGCCAATTTAAAATGTAGGCCTTTTAAGGTCAGTAATGCATTTATACCAGTGGAAGAGTTATTTCAGTTTTCAAATTATATGATTCCTGTTTATCCACCTTTGCTGGTTCCAAACCCTGCTCCTAAAATTACCCTTTTCATTACAAAATCCTATACTGTTTATAGGCATCCAAGCCTAATAAAGTCATCCTATTACCGGCTACAATAAAAACTGTATAGCACTAAAATGGCAGTAAATAAGACCATAACTTAGGCTCTTGAAACTGCTGACCTTAACCTGTGACTAATTGTGTTTCTGCCAGATTGCACCAACTAATCAAGAGCTTCCTTCTCCTGTCCGCCCCTTCTCAAAATGATGATCTATGGCTGTGGTGGAGGCTACACATCAGTTTGCTCCGTCTTGGTGGTGACTGGTTTTCATAGGTAATGATGCTAAATTGCACTTGTGGGAATAAAGGGAGACCAGTGAAGACATCCATCAGGGGCTAGTTTGTTCGAGCGGCCATTAGGAGCATTATTCAAAGCCTAGTAGCCAGCGTCTCTAACCTCCTTCTCTTATTCTCTGTCTCTCCCTTACAAACACAGACACAGACAGAATTTGCCACGAGCTACAAGAGAGGACATCTCATTCTTTTATCCACGGCGAGTCATTGTGGTGGTGTCAGCTGGTGCCGTCTCTTTTATCACACACTGGAAGCTAATGGAAGCAAGGAGGAGGTGGGGGATAGGACGTACACACACACACTCACACACACAAATGCACAAACGCACACTGAGCTATAAGAGGTTGTGGAGATGGGGCGGGTGGGCACGCCAGGCCCCAGGGCAGTAGCTGTTTTGTGCTGTTTTTCTAGCTTGCCATTGCCTCTATCAGCTGGGTTTTCTGACACTCTATAAACCACAAGGAAGGGCTTCAAACTGTTTTCTCTGCTTGTGTTTGATGTTTTTGCTATTCCCCAGTTGCGTTTTACCCCCGTGGTGGAATGTCATTGTCTACAAAAAAAACAGCTTTTGTTTAATTTGAAGCGTCCCACGTGAGCTCAATAAAACTACATTTTTCTTTCTTACATTTTTAACATGGTAATTCTACGGTTTATTATCTGTGAAGATTTATATACAAGGATGTGAACAATAGCCAATTAATGCTAAAGGATTCAGCTCGGAGCACAGGATACTTGAGCTGACCCAATTTCCTAATAAGATGGTTGTAGGCGAGGGGCTGCTACTTAAAACACACATGCTATAAGCGACATATGCCAAACGTATATGGTATTTATAACTTCTATAACTCTTTATTTTTTCAGTCTTTTTCGATTTGTAACATAACAATCGTGCTTTATCATGTGACACCATTTAGATACATATCATGTTTATATTTTGTTTTACATTAGGCAGTGAGACAGATAAAAATATACAAAACAATATTGTTTTACTAGACATAGTTTCTATTTTTAATATAATCCTCAGCATCTTCATTGTCATCATCTTTCTCATATATTTCTGTAAGGTATGTGCTTTAGCTTCTGTGATCAAAATATTATTGCAGAAAACAGCAACTCCATTTTTTCAACATTTAGACAATAACTTCCAATGTAATACAGACATTCACAGTTACATGTTTTACACGGTACAGTTTTACAACAAAGTTCCAGAGAAAACTGTGGCAGAGTAACTTTATACAAAATTCACAGGACATGAACTGTAGCCATTTCACATTTTCGCTCAGTTGTTTTGCTTTTCAAAGTAAACATGTTCTGTTCATCCAGATGCCTCTCACAGTAGCTGCCATAGAAGCAAACTAACATTGTCCTTATACGCCATGGCAAAAATCTGGGGAAATTAAAGCTTTGTGCTTTTCAGTATTGAAGCAAAGACAACGGGAACAAAAAGAGAAACAGACCACTTGCTTACTGGCCTGCACACATACGCACATCTACATATGTATTGCTCAATACATATAGATCAAACTATGCTTGATCAGTACACATGGAGAAAGGAATGACTACAGAGACACAGAGTTGGTCCAGGTTTGTGCTAGCTTACAGAGCTGTGTTTTGTCTTTGTGCCCAGTCGTGTAAATAGACTATGGCTCGGACAGAATGGATTTGTTGGCTTAAGGCCTTCTCTGTTCTTATTCTTTTTTGTTTGTCAGGAGATATTCAGATATTTTACTGATGTTCCTGAGGAAAGCATGCAAAAAAGTAAACAGGACTGACTGTCAGCATTAAGGGATAGTCAATGTTTGTAAATCACTTTTCTAACCCTGTGCTTTTTGTACTTCTTTGTACCCTGTGCTTTGCCAACCCGACACTAAATGGCATAGTTTTTGCTTTTGTCTGCCTATTGATTTTGGTCCTCCTTCACAACACATATAGTATAAAACATCCTAAAAATAATTCTAAAAATGTTTCAATCACATAAAAGTATTTTTTCTCTTTTTCCACTGTAAAAGGAAGGAAAAAATAACAGTCTCTCTCACACACATATCTTTTGCAACAAAGACTGGATTTCTCCAGGACTCGTAATCATGAACTTCTTATTGGCATTGTGCTTACTCTGAGCTTGTGCTCACCTTGTGGCCTGTACCTCACAGAGTGCAACGCTAACACCAGAGACAGTTGTGTGAGGCGTCGTAAACATCCACAAGAAACCCATTGCACTCTTCAATTTAGTTCACTACTTCATCTACTATATTCACACTGTATTTACTTGATTCATGAAGATATTCAACAAATCTCTAATCTATATCTCTAGGTAGGTATTTTTTCTTCTTTTCTCACAGTATTACACAGTATGTTTACATTTTCAGATTGACGTTGTAGTCGTGAACACTAACAGTCTTTGATATTGTTTTCCATAAAGCAAGCCAACAATTAGACATCATTGGCTTGGCTTTACAAATGCAGAAAAGAAATGATAGATGTTTTTTGAAAATCTGTTTAGATCACATATTGCCCTCGGAGGTAGGTGAATCAATTGAAATCTTGGAAGTTCTTTGTAATGTTCTCTTTTATCTACATGCTCCATGAGGGTTTGCTTGTTGTCTACACGTTGGCCTCTGCATTGGTCAGGTTGGAGGTGGGGCTCGTTGTGCTTGGAGGGTTCACCGTCTCCACTGGGCTCCCTACAGTGGGCACAGCGCTGGTCGGGCTACTTTTGGTGGTTGCAGTGACACTAGCAGCACTAGCAGTAACAGTAGATGTTGTGGTAATTACGGTTGTGGTAGGGCTTGTTGCTGGGTTTGTTGGACTGGACACAGTGGGTGGGTTGGCAGGGGGAGGGGCCGCGCTGGCACTAGTCACCGGGTTGGGACTGGTTGCAGTAGGGGGCGGGTTGACTGGGCTGGCTGCATTCGGGGGGGCCTGAGTGGAGGGGCTGGCTGCGTTGGTTGGACTCGACAGGTTTGCAGTGTTGGTCTCCACCTGCTGCTCTGGGCCGTTCTCCTGAGGCCTCCTGGTCACTGCGGGTGGCTGGAGCATTATCCGAATACGCTGGAAATCACATATAGACAGGGCTTATGTAACAAGTAGGGCTGTATCATCATTACACAATATATTGCTATAGAAAATACCTCGCAAGGGCCACTCAATGTCAGTGATAAAATAGTCCTAGAATATGAGGACCAATCACTTATATTACATAAATAAATTCTTTGCAAATTCAGCCAAACCATAGCACCAACAAATGCAATGGAGCTCAACAGTCAAAGCCCAGAGAGATTCCAGATGTAAATTTCTCATTATTTTTCCCTGAGAGTTTCAAACTATGACAATGACAGCAGCTTAGTTGCTATGTGCTAACTGATGTCCATAACATGGTTGTTTTAAGTTTGAAAAACACATTCAAATTCAGTTGATTTTTAAAATTAATTAATTTATTTATTTGATTAAGTTTCAGAGTTTCAATAAGATTATAGGTCTTGTGGTGTTTAGTTATCACAGAGATCATAACTTCTTAAAACATCTGTGGGAATAATGAATCAAATTTACTCCTGAAACCATAATGGGTGGGGGATGGTGCTGGTAGTAAGAACCCCTAGGTCTACCCCTAGGTAGTTATACAGTATAGTTTTGTTTGAAAATCAGCAAAAAAATGAAACATCATTATTGTTAATATATATTGAATCAAGTCAATATTGTAGTAATTGTCACAGCCACAACAAATGTGCCTCTCACCTCTTTGTAGGTCCCTTTGAGGCCCATATACATGTAAATCATGTATCCTGGAATGAGGACCATGGAGGACAGTGCCATGAGCCAGCCCACTCCCTGACCCCAGCCCGGGAACACGTAGTCTCCCATTTTGAGAGGAACCATTTGTATGGCACTGAACAGGAACACCCCCTGTGGGAGACACAAGATATTTATTCATCCAGATACCTGACAACAGTCTCATCCCAACATGACCACAGGCAGGTAATATTCACTCTATTGATCGTACTCTATTTTATGACTATTAATATTACAACTCACAGCAACGATGAGAGGCGTGAACACAACCCAGCACAGCTTCCACCATAGACAGGGCCTGTAGCCAATCATTTCCTGGATGTTGTCATAGAACTTGTTCACACCTGCGAGAAATGAATCAAAATTCAGATTCAATTTATTTTAATTTGCTGCCGTCCTGGCATGCATGATGATGAGGAGGGTGAAGTGGAACACATGAGGGCTCGGCAACCTTGAGGCTGTAGCTATCCGGTATTGCACAAAAAGTCTGTGTTTTGTAACCATAGATCTAAGACTGCATTGGATAAAATGGGTTTATTTAAACATGTAACAGAACAATGATGATACACACCGTAGCACCAGGATATGGAGATGCATTCAAAGAAGACCAAAAACAGCAGACACATTCCACTGGCAGAGTAGTAGTCAAACAGTTTGAACACATAGATCCCACCCTGGTTACATAAAAATGGATAACGTTGTAAAAATATGGGACATTGCTAACACAGGGAATAAAAAAGTCAGCGTCTTGGAATTGTTAGCGGCTTACCTGTGTGATGTTTGACAGTCCGATCACATAGGACACGACGCAGACGGCTGCAATGAATATCTCTCGCCTACCCCTAAGAACTCTGGGAAATTCATCCACCAGAGCAGTGATGAAGCCTTCAACCGTGCAGAACTGAGGAGAGCATAGAGACATTACATTGGGAACATTTGCAACAATACTTTGTAAGAAAAAATTAACAGGCTGCTTATGTTGAATGTAGGTTGGATAAGTGTGAATATGCTATTGCAGTTTGCATCCAAGTGTGGAGGTAAAAAGTACAGTTATTATATTAAATAGAAGGGTTTCCAAAGAAGAGCAGCATTATCACAATATTGATGTTATTAAATTTATTTTGATATGGCTCCACCAATATTACATTTTGGGGAGCAATGCCCAGGACGTTATTGTTATTAAGAATCTGTTCTCAGTTGATGTTCCTGGTTAGAACATATTTTTGGCCACATCAATTTTGCAAATGCTTATAGATTACTATGGATATCAGCTTTTGATGTATTAAATAAGCAATAGTTAAACATTTATTGAAATATTAAAGGTTCGGGTATTTGTCCATTTTTAGATTTTCCAAAGACTGGACATGTAATCCCATAATATTATCCACACTGTAATCAGGAAAGCAGACTGCTGTAGTTGACACGTATTAACACTATGCTTTATGGTGCAAGACAGTATTAATTAATCATGGTTATATGCTCATTTTGCCAAGAATGCATTCAGTTATTGTATTATGGAATGTCTTTTGTGATATATCGGTCTGAACCTATTTTCCTGTTATTAGCTGTCTTCTAGGGCTGCACTTTACATAATGTTTTTAGTGAAATATCAGAAAATACATTATGCAAGAAACTAAATATTCTACAAAAACAATTTACCCAGTTCTGGTAAATTTTAAAAAGTGGTTTTGGTTTTGTCTTTTTGTATATTTGATTTTGCTCTGTTGTCTTATCATAGCTCTCTGTGGCCTTATCTGACCCCTTTTACTTTACTAAATATAAAGACATAAGATGGTGGGGGGGCTGCAGAAAATTTCCAAAGTCCAAAGAGTGCCCCGTTTCATTATCTGCACTGGAAAGCTAAAGTCAAAGCAGAGCTATGTCCTTTGACTACAGAAAAATGGCATGCTTATCATGCAGGGAGCAGGGCCCAGGATGATATGCCCCTCTATTTGAGTGTTTAAGTCAGTCAGGTGCAGGTTGGACCAAAGCTCTTACCTGGCTGTCAATCCCCAGCATGAGCAGCATGGAGAAGAACAGGATGGCCCAGAGAGGAGACACAGGCAGCTGGGTGACTGCCTCAGGGTACGCCAAGAACGCCAGACCAGGACCTGAGCACAGGAGATTCAGTTTCAAGAGCTCTACTCATGCAGGTTTATTGGTTTTCTTTTGAATGCCTCAAATAGTAAATTATAAGTAGCATAGTAGGTGCTTTACCTGACGCTGCTACATCTGCAATGGGTCTCTTTGTCACATGTGCCATGAAACCAACAATAGAGAAGATGACAAAGCCAGCGAACATGCTGGTACATGAGTTGATACAGCACACAATGATAGAGTCTCTGGGGACAGGAGATATCAGATTGTGTTGTTAGGTTTTTCCACTGTGCTGAGATTGCCCAAAACACTACAGTCTGCAATCCTTCTAGAGCTATGGACGGCCAGTACAACCTTTACAATTCTACCTCATTTTGGTTAATATTTTGTAGTAAATCTTTTATGTGATTTACGTGATATAAATACATGCAGTAAAGTTAAATATATTATGATTAAAGTCCCTTAATTTCAGTGTTAACTGAAATTTTTATGTGACCTAGAACCATGAGGCTACAGAAGAAGAAATACCATGTAATGATTTTGCTGTCTCCCTAATGTTCACACAGCCACAGTATTAAACCTATTTGTCCATGTACTGCTATTACATTCATGCCAGTGACATTAATAGGGACTGTTACTCAATGCCCTTGAACATAAGCCTGTAAAAGGAAATATAATGTGCTCTAATGGACCAATTTAATTACTGGCAATTATAACTAGCAGCACAGAGACTCATTTTTCTTAGTTTCCCCAGACACATCTTCACATCTTCTCCAGCTTACCTGTAAACATTGTTGTTGAAAGGGTTATAGCTGCCCAGAGCTATAAGTGAGCCCAGGCCTAGACCATAAGAGAAAAATATTTGGGTGGCTGCATCCAGCCAGACCTGTAACAGAAACACCACTATTAATCTGATGACTGAAGGCCAATGCTGTGAAGAGATGAGTTATTATTTGTCAAACCTCTGATTCTTTAAGTTTCTCAAAGTCAGGGGTCACATAGAACTTAATGCCGTCAAAAGCTCCAGGCAGAGTGACCCCACGACAGAAGAGAATGAACAGCATGAAGTAAGGATATGTTGCAGAGAAGTACACCACCTACAAGACAGACACTGTCAGAAATTGACACTCGATGAGTTTAGAATTTTCAGATATTCAAAATGAAAATGGGTTCTTTCATAAATGCAAAAAAAGTGGGTTAACTGAAGCTTTTTAAATTAAGTTTTCATAATATGTGCACTCTGATGAGAAAATCCATGCAGTTTGTGAGCAAATGTGTAGGGTTATTGAGTGTTTTTGTGACCACTCCAAATTGAGTTTGCCATGGCGATGTGTTGGACTAAAGAAATGCTGCACCACAGGGGAGGTGAAGTGCTTCATATGAGATAGTGGACAAAATGAGAATCGAGTTTAAGGCTGCTTGTTGCTCCTCTTAATGCTCACACAACTTGTGTCAGGAGCCACCACAGGCAGGACAAGATCAGGAAACATCAGTGTTTGATGGCTTGTCTTATAAATCAATCTGGACAATGCTAGCTGTGGTCTGAATGATTGATGAGAGTGATATTACACTGCTAAATATTTGATTTCTCACAAACCTCATTGAGAGCTGCCTTTGGGCACCCAAAGTCTTACCTTCCCTGTCCAGCTAACCCCTTTCCAGATACAGAAGTACACAAGGACCCAAGCAATGGCCAGTGTTATTGCCAGTGGCACTCGGATTTGGCCTGGTTTTTCCAAGCCATCGGTCATTTCGTGCATGTTGCGCCTAAGAGTCAGAGCGAGCAACAATAAGACTATTATCCACTCACGGACATGGGCATGCAGCAGAGGAGGCAGTCTTTTATGCATCAGTGTAGGATTGCATGCAAGATGCTTTAAAGCAGTAGATGCAACAAAAATGTGGATGTCTTACTCCCAGAACTCCAGCACAGCACTGGTCAGATTGGTGGTGTCTGCAATGCTGTAGTTTGTGTAACACTTGTCTGTGTTCCATGCATTGTTACATGAGCTCCAGGGAAGTTCCTGTAAAACACATGAATTGGTATGTATCACAGCTGTAGCAGCAGCATGACCTGATATTACAACCTTGACCTTGTGGCCCATTGGATTTTATGTAGCATTGAATACTCACAGTGGTAAAGGAGTTGTACAAGTAGTAAATGGCCCAGGCAATAATTACAATGTAGTAAATATTGAGCCAGAAGGACAAGACAGCAGCTGCAAGGCCCACACCTATCACACAAAAATAAATTTTATGTGCGATAGTAAAACTTCACACGTGTCCTCTATAAATACAAATGATCTCCCCTGTGAAGGGCCACTATAATCTTTTACATTATACTACAGTCATGGAAGCAGTACCTTTGAACATAGGCGCCAGTTTCCACACACCCAGCCCTCCAATGGAGGTGTATTGACCAAGTGAGCATTCCAGCAGAAACAAGGGCATTCCAGCAAATATGAGAGTCAAGAAATATGGAATCAAGAACGCTCCTGAATGGATAGAATAAAGTGATTTAGACTAGATACTGTTCAGTGCATAACACACACAATGCAATCTGCATTGATTGCACGTCTTATGAATGGCTAAAAAGCTCTAGATAAATCTCTGAGGGAGAAATAAACTGTTTACCTCCACCGTTTTTTCCACAGAGATATGGAAATCTCCACACGTTGCCCAGTCCAATTGCATAACCCACACACGACAGGAGGAAATCAAATTTTCCCACCCATGTTTCTCTATCAGGCACCTCCTTTTTCTTTTCTCCCCCTTTCACGTCCAATGTCTTGGGTTTGTCGTTATTTGTCGCCACCTCGTTGAGCTCTGTCACCTGTCCATCCGTTTTGGTGCCGTTCGTCGCCATGTCTCTGGCTTTGGCAAAGGTCCTGGCAGTCGGACGTGAGGCTTCAGCACCTGTCCACGTAGACAGCAGCTTCGCGGTGTTTTAGACCTAACCTTTGGGACTGTTAGATGGAAGCCTGGCTCAGTCAGATGCCCTCAACCTGAAAGCGTTAATAAAACATGATTCTACTATCATGTGCGTAAAAGTAAGCACATTTTGGTTAATTAATCAACAAATAAATGCAATAAATATAACCGCGTCTCGAACACATTTGTCTCCAGGCAACATTTTCATTCATATCAGACTCAGCAAACATCAAAAACCATCGATGGCAAAGTCATGCTGGACTTGCTCCCACAACTAAGAGCGACAGATTGCGCGTAATTAACAGCAGTGAAAACAGATCAGCACACACATGGATATAGATCAAACGTTAAAAAATATGAACAAGAAAATAAACTTTGAGACCCATAACAAGACAGCAGATATAGAACATACAAGCCTAGCGGGTACGCAGCGCTTCTATCTGCCTATGAGAGATAAGCACAACGAATTGGACCAATTACCACCTGCAGATTCTTGTAACACTTAGACACATGCAGAAATCCAAACATGAGGTCTCAAAGGTAATTTCAGAGCACCGAACGCACTATGGAGACAAAGGCTGTCCAAATGCGTAAAAGCTTGTATTGTCCAAATTCATTGGCAACCAACGCGCGCCACGTCCGCACCGTTCATCAGACTGGAGAACAGCAATCAATTCTGCGTTTAATTGGCTGTGGCGTGTAGGTACGTGGCACTACATTACATCCATCACACACAATACACCTGAGCATAGCCTATAGTCTATAATCATTGCTAAAATAGATTTTCTGCGTTATCAAAATGCACATTTGAAACACAAGCAATTATAAAATAAGAGATTAGAGAAACTGGTTTGCACTCACATTCAATGGTTGATCCGTGTTGCAAATGCGCCGCCTGCCACAAAAGCCGAACGAGGTATCCGTAGATCCCTCCCGTGGGTGAAGAAGTTGTAAACTCCCGATTTGTCTTGGAACATAAAGAGATATTACTTCCATTAAAAGCCTTAAAGTGACCATGTATCAAAAGCGACAACACTTGGAGCTTTTTTAGGGTTTGTTCCTTGGCCAGGAGCTGTCCAGCGGGAAACAGTGCTGAAAAGACCAGGGATGAGGAAGAGGAGGGAACGAGCAGAAGAAGTAGAAATGATGAAGAACGAGAGGAGGAGGAGGATGGATTCAGCGCGGGCAGCAGCAGCCGCTTCTCCTCGCGCGACTGTCTAACATCAACAAGCAGAGACTCAACTACCATCTACAGCCTCAATGTCATCTCAAAGTCGCCCTCCCTTTCCTCCTCTCCACCTCCTCCTCTTCTTCTGCCTAACTCATAGGCTCCTCTCACCGCGCGCTCGCACCCTTGTTTGTTACCATTCATATTTTCATTAGTTACATTTAATTGCGTTATTTTTTCACAGACATTTTAACACAGAAGTCATTGTATACACGCCTCTAATTAGCACTGGATTTGCTAAGTTTGTCTGTATTACTGAACACTGTCGAGTAATGAGCTGCTTAAAAATGTAGCAGCCCCATCCTAACCCAGCCTCCCTTGAATCTATAATGAAAACATATGGCAGGTAAGCATCATTATGCCCCTGATGGATCTGAAGGTGAGGCCACATCGCGCTGCCTGTGTCTGTGCGCCAAACTGGCAAATTGTGATAAAGAGAACCCGTCAATAAAGGGAGGGACTGGCCGCGCTTGTCCTAAGTCCTGGCTGTCACCGTCCACGGGATTGTCGTCTTCATGTGAGGAGAACAATAACTGGATATCTACAACGCCAAATGAGTTCAAAATACGGATTCTTTTTTTGTTTTGTTTTGTTTTTTATCAGCTCAACCAACCAAAAAGTAATGCAACTTTTTGGAAGAAGTTTTGAGGTAAGTTAATTGACGCGTGCCCACTTTGTTTGACTATTTGGATACATGTTTCTTTCACCATTGGAATTGTAACCTCTTGTCTTAGTGTTTATGCCGACACTTTTTCCAAATCGTTGCACGTGCTTTTTCTTGAAAGGCGCGTTCAATGTTGGCGTTGACTGAGTGCGTAAAACATGGTGTCAACTGCGGCTTCGGTTTAGCGATACAGTGAGCGGTGTGAATGTTTCCTCATCTCATCCCCAGACGTACAAGCTGGGAAGGCACCAGATGGCGAGCCAATGAGGGGTGAACTAACCTATTAACTGATACCACATGAAATGCTGCATTTAAAACTCCCATCTGGGTTGGCATCCCCGCGGACATAGCAGTGTGTGAAACATGACACATATTTATACACCTGCTGATGTACACGCGGCCATGTCCAATCGGCTGGTGACATGAGCGCCCCGCCACCTGACCCCATAACCCGCAGCCTTTGATTCAGCTCAGCAGCCCGCGTGCACTCTTTCAAGTGCACTGGGCTCCTTGCGAAATGCTTTATGTGCCTGCTCCATTAGGCCGGAATTACTTGTCCCTTCCTGTAATGGCTTTTAGATTATGTGAGTAAGATTGAGGCTGAGGTCAACCCCTCTTTCGTGGCCCACTGGGTGCAAAATCATCATAATGTGGTGAGGAATGTAAAGGAATGGCATCTGAGGCATTTTGGAGACTCAAGGTAAACAATGCCGTTCACCTATACAAATGTAAAATGTAATACATAAGTGTAAAAGTGCACAGGATGCAATTTTGTTTGTTCTTCAACCAGAATTTCAAAAACAGCAGCCTGACGTGCTATAAGTGCAGTGCCCATTTTAAAGGAATGATGGTTTGAATGGATTGTGTTAAATTCAGTTCAATAAAAAAATCCCTTTCTATTACTATATTATCTTTATGTTGGAACATGCTTTCTACTTAGAGAGTAAGTGTTGTTCGATATTTCAGGATTCGTATACCTTCTATGGCTGCCTAGTCTCTATTTCTTGCAGCCCTTTGCAGTGAGTGCTTTACCTGCTTCATAATTGTGGTTGAATTCCTGGAGCTGTATTGGATTTCTCTGCTCTCTTGATTCCCCAGCCCCTGTGTCTGCTGCATAGTCCGCAAACCAAAGTGATTAGCATGATGATTAGTCATTAGTATGCTAATCAGAAGCAATTCACATATTTTATTCATATTGTCACCAACTTGTTTTTTTCTCTCTGCTTTAGCTGTGTATATGCCCTACTTTATTTTACAGTTGCAAACACTGATCAGCCTTTAATCATAAAATTATTTGTAGAACCTTTTGTCAATGTTTGACAACCTTTGTATTTTGTATGCACTGGCAACAACTGCAACACACAATAATAAAAATATATCTATAACTGTTCTGGTAACATCATAGGTTTCTGGTTCTTTCCATTTCTCTGTTGCAATGGTCGACTCATGCAGCCTCCAGAAGCTGAATCTACTTCAAGGATACATGCTTTAGTTTGTCTGCTGTGTAGTATAGCATTTGTTTAGCATGACCTAAATTGCTGTGAAGTGAGTGCCTCAGCAGCTCTGTCTCGCCTCTTGCCTTGACCACACTCTTGTCCTCTCTGTGTGCATCCATTTCTCTTTTACTATATCTCATGAAGACACGTGCTTTGCAAATAAGTCCAACCAGCTGAGGACAGTACACTGCACCATTCCCCTGTGCAGTAGAGCACTGTAGAATAAAGTAGAATCAATGAGGTGGGACGGACTTTCAAACCTGCTTCATTATGACTGATTCTTTCACTAAACTCGTACTCTTTCAGCCTTTTGTTCTAACATTTTATAGACCTGCAAAGTTGTTTTAGTTGTGTTAACTGGATCTTGTATATCTTGCGTTATTGTGATATTTATCATTAATATATAAGCCTATATCCTTCTCCAAATCCAGTATTAGATTTAGAGCCAGTGGGATATTTTGGCACCAGCAGGCCCTGGGACAGGTGCTTTGTTGACACTGCAGTGTGGTGCGCTCCACACTGTGTAGATTTAGTAAACATATGACCTCCATGATAACCAGTATGGGGGCACTAAATCGCTTCAAATTTTGTACATGTGTTGCTAGGCAACAGCATAATCGCTCTCTGACTCTCCATCCTTACATGGCTCTCTACTGGGACTACTGTGCTTCTATCATTGAAAATGGTTAATTAACTTTTACAAAAAGTCCATTAATGGAACAGATTAGGCTTCTGAGGGTTAAAAGCACATCTAGGCTGCTCAGAAATACATGCCGACATATACTCATGTCAAAAAGCCTCACAAGTGGATTACTCTACACAGTACACATGCATACAGCAGTACTGCAATAATAACTGCCACACTGTCAATGTGAAAAGGTTATGGACAGAATGCCTATGTGTTCACTTCATTTACATAGATAATGCACTGTGATTGATTCACAAAATACCATACGCATAATATACTGCATAAGAAATGTCACTGTGCTCCAAACTGTGGGCTTCAGCATTAACTAAATATTACAAATGTGCCTGCATGAAGAAAACAACACAGCAACAATCCAATATAGATTAATGGTAAAACTGCCCTTTTGTTTAATAGAACAAAATATGCTTTAGCAAATTGAATCTCTAAAGCCATCTGTAATTTGCATTGAAAGCATTTTCTGTTGCATCTTTCTTTACAGCCATATTGAAGCCAAAAAATATATTTTGTTGTGTTTTTGAATATTTCTTTAATAAGCTCTCATTTTCAAACTACGCCTACTAAACTACACCTGTATTTATATGCAGGGAAATACAGTATAATGGAAGGAAGCCAAGCACATAATAGAGCTTTGTATCATTAAACTTGGAGAAATGGAGGAGATGATGGTTTTGGTGTCAGAGGCACAAACATGGAGCTGTTTAAATTCATGCTCCGACTGAAGTCTGCAGTCCTTTCTCACCACGCTGCCCCTGCTAATCCCCTCCATTCAACCACATCACTATGGAAACTGACTCATGTCTCACCCTCACCCAACTTGTGCCATGCAGCCACATCTGCCTCTGACATGGAGGAGGCTGTGCACATTACACCTGTATACCTCTTTGCCTGGGCTGTAGATAACACCTGTGGGTCTGATAAATAAATAAATAAATAAATAAGAATGAAATGTATTTATCTATGATATGCAATAATTTGTTACATTTTTGTATAAACATACAGGCATATTTAAGCCTAATTTCTCTAATTTCTCTTTTCCATTTTTACTCATTTGTCTGTTCAAAAAGATGCATCTGATGCACTGAGTACATGGAAAGCTTTTTTTTTTTTTTTTTTTTTACCAGATGATATCTGTAAAAACCCTCCAATTTCAGCCGATGCCAATAGCCAATATTTGATCTGATATACCTCCCATCCCTAATCACAACTGCCATATTAATCATATGGATAAAGTGTTTTAAATTGTTAGTGATAGCTCTGCTCAAGACAATCCTATAAGCTGGAGGATGTACAAGAGTAAGCGGGCTGGGAGGGAAAACTTTGTTGCTGCTTGGCTGAAAGTTGGAGGTTGATGGAGCGGCAAATTTTCATATTCCTGCTCCCTGCTACCTATTTCATTTCCCTGCCTGTCCTCTGGCAAAATTGCAGGAGAATATTTGTCATGGTTTTAAAAGGTTTATCAGCTTCAAAGCGAAGGAAGCTGGTCGTCCAAAGCCATCACTGGGACCACGCAATCCTTCCAGCACTCACAAGAATGGGTTAGAGCATGTGGACAAATTTCCCAGCTAAGCTCCCATTTCAGAGCAGCTACATAAAGCTAGCTGTGCACATTTGCATTTGCCTTTGACGTCAGCCATAATCCACCAAACCACTTCTTCAACCCCCTCATCAAGTTGGAGGAGAGCCTTGCTAATTGCTAATTACAGTAAAAATAAGGCTCTGATCAGTAGTGTAATCAGCCTAGTCAGCGCATCCACTGATAGTACTGGATCATTTAGAGAGCCACGGGTAAACAGTGTCCGCAGACCGCCTGTAATTGTACCACATATGTCATGGAGTACTTTAAGCCTTTTGCCATAAAATCCATGAAACAACTGAATAATGCATTTGCTTTGCTTATTGCTGTCATCTCACATTTTTTCACAGAAGTGCCAAAAGCGATGCCCGGATATGAATTACCTGCCTGGATAACTCTGTCGCATTGGCCCTGCGACCCTTTGCTGCCTCCTAACATGACACAGGGGTTAATTAGGTGTCCATCTGCACTTGGCTCAGTGCAAGCATTTCTACCGCCCATACGGTAACAATATCCAATCTACTAATCCATGAATGAATAGGCAGAATTATTATTACAATATTTATACATAAGTGTGATGTTTTAAAATGGTTGGTGTACAGCAGATAATTCACATATTCGGAGGTGTTCTTAGTTATTGAAGAATTAATGGGTAAATCTATTGCAGTTACCCACAGCAGGGATTCAAAGTTACCTACAGCAGGGATTATTAGCTATGATAGATATTGTTAACTGAAAAAAGAAGAATATCTAAAATACATTTTACAAAAAAATTATGTAATTAAATTAAATTACTCATTAATAATTGTTATGTTATGTCAGGACCGCAAGAAATGGGGGAAGAAAATCAGTACAACCTAAAATAATTTTCTTTTTTAACCAAATAATATTAGTAGCATTTTTATTCTATTTTATAGTGCTTAGACTAATTTGAACAGCTCTTGTGTAAGTCCTTGTTGGTGTACACAGATAATACCAATTATAATAACTGGAGCTAATGCTATTTAACCTTTTGCGCCATTTCAGGGTAAAGAGGCGAGCTGGGAGTGCACAGAGGAGAGCAGACGTGTTAATGTGGCCTGTCAGTGTCAGACACGACATGCAGAAGACAAACCCAGAGGTTGTGCTGTGAGTCTCACTGGTTTGCATAGACCTTGTGTAATCTGCACATGTGAATGTGTGTCCTGCTGCTAATGGGAATCATCATATGTGCATAGGCAGAGTGATGCAACACTTTTGAATGTATCCATCTCCAAAATTGGAGTAGAGGCATGAGCAAAGATGAAGTCACTTCATTTGGTTGTTGGCAATGGCATCAGGAAACATTGACCTTTTGTTGGATCCTCAGGCCGTTCACTGAGTCACATGACAGGCGGATATTTACAGTGCCTCTCGTCAGTGGCCTGTCAAATCACACACACTCCAGTGGAGCCAGGAGGCCCTAGGCCGCACATCAGACTGATGCAAAGGTGTTTTTGTCCCTGCTTTTAGCTGAGCTCACTTTAGCCCAGAATAACACAGACAGATACAACATGTGCTTCAATATGGGCCTGTATGTCTCTGTCTATGGGTGTAGCTGGGTGGGGGCAAGTGAGACATACAAAAGGAGTCGCAGACTGTCTGCAGGACCAATGAATTTCAGGCCAATTTATCTTCTGAATGAGTCTCTGTAGGGCATTCATTCCCAGACACTTCCATGCAATGTATAACAAATACAACTGTACAACATGCCACTGCACAAAGGGCACACGGAGGCAAGGCCCAAACATGTTCTTTACCAACACAGCCTTTGACAAACCACATGTTTGTATTATGTGAAATGATAATAATTATTATGTTTTATCACTTCAAATATTTGTTACATTAACAATGGATTGTGTGTATTGCAAGCATGCAGTAATGTGTTAAATGATAATAATAGGTTAAACAAGGCTCTATTTTACTACACTAATTTTATTCTACAATATCAGTCTCAGCAATATTAATGCTGAATGTCTACTCTGTATTTTGCAGAGTTCTGAAACATTGTTTGTTAATAAATGCTTTGAGGAGCAACTTGATGAAGAGGCAAGCCTGAGGTAAGTGTAATTTTGTGAGCTCTTGTTTTAGTATACAATAATTATACTGTTCAATAATACTCTACATAAATAAACCGTAATATAGATGCTATTAGATTCGATTCAGTAGATAAATTCGATTTACAGTTTTCTGTCATATGTAACCACAGAATGTATTGGGGGTTGTGACATTTTATGGCATTCTTCTCCTTGAGAGACAATATATCACAGTCAAATGTTATGATATAAAACAATTGGATATGAATTACCTCTGGACCAGAAGATATAACTTCTTTCTCATGACAAATGCACTATGAACATGATAAGCGTCAAACACTGCTGCCCCCCATGATACATGTATGAAACATATTTCCTGTCTGCTCCGGGGGCTTCATCTGCCTTATATCTGTGGGGAAATCTCTGTGTGAGGATCAGGAGTAGTTCTGGAGGTTGGGGGAGGTATGGAGGGGGTTGGTAGGATGGGTGCTTGGTGACTTGGTGGTCCAGTGGACTGGAAAACGCTGCCCCGTGGCAGGGAGGGAGCACAGGGCCCTATCCGCGCTGGAGCTAATGTGGACACTGGCTCATTAGAGCGCTGATGTAAGGAACACTGTGTGATGCTTCAGTGCAAGAATTTGGTCAAAGAGTCTATGAAATGCACTCAAGCAAATGCATGGAGCTTGCAAAGACAAGCCTGGCTTGTGCTGAGTTTAGGCTCCACTGAGAGAGTGGGCCTCCCTCAAACAGCTCTCTGGTCATAGAGGCTTTCAGTGAAAAAACATTGTGTATCAGTCATGAGCAGAGCTTGCGCAGGCTGCCACAACAGGAGCTGCTGACAGGTTGGTCATCAATAGACGGCAGAACGAGAAGAGAAATAGATGGTGAAGGAGAATAGAGACAGAAAAAGGCTGACAGCCTGCCCCCCCCCATCACCACCACCACCACCACCTTCCCTCTCCCCTCCTCTCCTCAGCAATCAGCGAGGTAAGGACACGGGGGGAGGAGAAGCAGAGCTACGACCCTGGCTCCAAGCTCAGCTGCATGTCAAGACAGTCACTGATCTGCAGCACTATTCACCATGACATGATGTATGCCACATATAGTAGTGGATCTTCACCAATGTAGTCCAGCTCATTCACCGCCGCCGCCATGACACTCTGCCTTCAGCTTTTTCACCCACTGCTCGCTCAGTATATTTAAGGTGACCATTATTTCAATTTCCTGGAAAGAAAGACTGGTCATATGAATAATAAATCCTGTGTAAATTATAAGTGCATAATTACCTATGAAGAGAAGGGTCCTCTATTTCTGTTGCTCCCTGATTTGACTTAGCCCAAATATAGTTGAACCAGCGCTGCACATTCGTTTTGTATGCAAACGTATCACACAGAAAAGCCAACATATACCAGAGGCTCTGAGGACAAAATGTGGTGGCAGGGAACAGTGCAGGAGGTGGAGGGGGAAATAGCCCCGCTCATCTCTTTCATTTTCTGCCCGCTACTACCCAGCAGAGTTTCTATGGCAACCCCTCAAAAAGCGGTGTGTGGTGAATTGTGGATTTGAGATGCGCTGTCTGATTGCGCTGTGTGGAGGAGATGGCTGGCTCTTTCGTCAGCCTTCCTGTGTAAAAGGAAATTGGTGGAGAGCTCCAATGAAACAGCACTCCTTATGCTTTTCTTTGATGCAAGTGCCAGCTACAGTGTGTACTTGTGTGTACGGTTTGGTATTTATCACACAGGGGGGACTAAAGTCTGCATAGACACTCAAATCATTCAGACCTGCCTTCCTTATAGGGACAGAAATCAGGTTCATGTGATGTAAATGCTTTTTTATTAGGTCAACAACATGGTTTAAAGTTCAGATATGGGTTAAAATAGGTTTGACAAGTCGTGCTTGTTAAGGTTAGGATCAGCCTCCAGGAAAAGAATGCAAGTCAATATAATGTAACCAGAAAGTACTGAAACCCACATGTGCCTGTATCTGTGTCATGTACATTGCTTCCCTACCAAGCTGCCCATCTCACCTGGCACCAGCCTCTCTCCTCTGACTTCTTTGTGTCTGAGTGACCATGAACTCATCAGCATGCTCTGGCTTTCATCTGATGATGATTCATTTCCCTTTAGAATACCAGCAACCATCGAGAACGCACCACCATGTGTGGATTTTTTTTTTTTTACTCTACAGTTGTGACACATTACTAAGAAAACACACAAGGGCAAGCAGTACCAAACCTGCACTGCCCCCTCCTCACCTCCTTAGTGCAGTGTGTGACAGAGTTGCTTTTGGGGGCTTTTTGTCAGAGCCCAGGACATGTATGTTGTGCAGTGTGCGCCCCCTCTGCCCAGCGCTGGGTGCTTGTATGAGGCTTGTAAGCTGTGCCAGTCCCCATTAGCATCCCATTATAAAGCAGCATGATCACTCGTCACTTGGAAAGCCTGCCACCACGTGCACCGCGTGCTGTGTGTGTGCATGTGTGTGTGTGAATCCTGTTGTCAACTGATTGAGATGGCCTTGTTTCAGAAGTGAATTAAAAATGCGGCAGAATCTAACACTGTGCACAATTCAATTTAAATGTGTCTGCCAGTGTTTGGTTTGTTTGACCCAGATTTCTCACCTACCCCACTGTTGATAAATTGGCTTTCTGGAGGCAGTCTTGCGCAACAATTTAATTTAGTATATGTAGCAAACAGCACCCTCTGCTGACTGAGTTTCTGTTTGGCTCAAAATTGTAAGAGGATCTCAAAATAAGCAAGCATATTTTCATATAATTTCAGATAAAAATTATGCACCACATGCCTACATTGCATGCATGAGTGTATATTTTAAAAACACATACTGCACTTAACATATATTAGTACATACAAGTTGTTTTATTTTAGAAAACAAAAGCTTTGTGTGTTTTTCTTAATCCATCATGAAGATGGTGAACACAAGGCTAAACTATAAAACCTTAATGTCTTATTGTACCTTACTCTTAATTGTATAGGCTATTTAGTTCTTTCAGACTAGGTACTTCATTTAATTTCAAACAGTGATCAGTTACCATATGATGAACTGGCCAAATTTTTACTATAGATGTACTAGTACTTGTAGTATTAAGACTATAGGCCCATCAGATTATAGTTCACTCTCAAAGTCATGAGGAGCGCTACACTTTTCTCTGATAATGCCATAAAAATGAATGAACAACAATGCATCTTGATGATTTATTACTCATAATTAGGTCACGGCTCTCAAGTGTCAACATAGCCACAACAGAAAGGTGAGAAATACTATACTATATTACCCCAATGGAAAATGCTCACTATTCAGACTGAAATGTTCTTGTATTGATTCAGCCTCCTGACTCTTGGCATCTGTAGCTGTGTTGAACCAAGTTGCTTTTTAATGAATGCCCACGTGTGGAGCTCTGACTTTGTGCCTGGATTTGAAAGCTCGTGAACCATGTGTTAACACCTCACTCATCTTTCACTGCCTCTGTCCTGCCTTTATCACATCACAGACACTCCACCACCGCACCCACGGTCCACGTCTCCAGCTCTGGTCTGCAGGAATGTTGAGTGTCTCTCCAAGCCTCTCCCTGGAGATTAGGCCTCCCTATGCACGCCCCGCTCGCCCCATTCCATTCCCAAGTATGCCCCCAAAGAGCTGCCGCATTTTTATCTGAGCTCGGTGATTGTGACAGATTGGCCAAATGACACACATACACAGACGCACACACGCTGAGGCTCCAATGGAGGGGTCAACCAGGGAGGGACTAGAGAGCACTTGCTTGGGGGTTTGGGGGTATATAAGCTGGGTAAGACCAGGCCAGGACTCTGCTCCCTGCCGGACAGTGCCTTCACGCCCTCTGTGCCAGGACTCCATCGGTGCAGATAGCCACGAGCCGCCAACATGAATGACATCTACAAGGCTGCGGTATGTCATCTGAGAGAAAAAAAATTATGCTTTTGTTTTGTTTGACATCCTAACTTTTTAAAATTTGAATTCTGAAGTAATTTGACTTTAATATGATAACCTTTAACCTTTTGATCCATTATAACATTATTCACCTTCTAACTCACCTTAATATAGTTTATTGTGTCAAAGCTTGGCAACTTGTTTATGACTTGGCTGTCATTTGTTGCTCTCCCATCAAACATGACTTGAATAGCTGCTAAATCCCTGTTGACGCGGCCAGCACATTGCCTCCATCACTAGCTAATATGAAACAAGCCTCTCCATATACGTCTCTCCTCTGCCTCCCTCTTGAGCCCTATCAAGACCAATAGGAGCCACTCAGGAGGTCAGTAACAGGACAGGTCTCATTCACGACTTCAAATGGTCCCATCCGGCTCTGACCTGGCTAATTTTGGCGCAGTTGCTCGGACGCCTCTGTGGTCCTGTGTTTCTGGTGCCAAAGAAGGGGCTGCAGGTTTAGATAACCCCCCCAACGGCTGGATGCCAGTATTATCTGTGAGCCTGCGATGCTGTCCACTGTGCTCACATAGCCAAAGCAGAGTGCGGCTGACGGGCAGTTCAAAAGCAGTAGGAATGTGCATTACATGTGTTTGTTTAGATGGTTCTTTTCATATATCATCACCACCACAGGGGCGTGTATATTTAATTTATAGTAGTGGACAGACAATAACTCTTACATAAGCAGCTGTCTCCCTCTCTCATTCGTGGTAGCTTTTCTAGGATTACTGCTCCATTGTTGGGTCCTATCCGCTGCTATGCTAATTTAAAGCACTGTGTATTGTGTGCTTTATCGGTGGGTCTTGATCCTGCTATCGTTTATTTTTAACTCCTTCTCTGATTGGCTGTGGAAGCAGAGCACTGGTCCTGTCTGTATTGTGTCAGACACCTCTAACTTTAAATCTTTACTCAAGGTACTTCAGTGTTTTAACTTAAGTGGAAAAAAGATCATATCTATTTTAAACATTTACCAAAAACATTTATAGCACATTCTTATGATGACAATAAATTAATAATGTATAAAGTGCGCTCACAAGTTAATATAAATATAATGTTTCTTATAGGAGTTTGGACTGGGTTCTAAATGTAAGATCTTTGCTTCTTTCATCCAAGCTTATGAATTTGTACAAAACCTGCAGAAATCTAAGTTTAGGTTTCATAGTGATAAAAAGCTACCACTGTTGCCATAGTGATTAATATTTCCAAACTATTCTTATATCTTTTGAATGGTCAAAAATTGTCAAAATGGCACCTATAAACAGAAAGCTGAAACCATCGGCAGGTGTCTCCTCAGTACTGTTAATGAGGGCTGGGCGATATGGTGATAGAAATTGAATCGTGATCTCATCCCTGTGACAATCTACTATTTTAGTCATTTCATCATACCATTCATTGGCTATTTCTCTATTTAATGCAGCTGTCTGCTCAAATAAACACTTTTTTCTCACTCAGATTCTGAGTGAGTGACAGGTGTGATTAACCAATCACATTGAAGTGTTAACTTTCAGAAAAAGCAGATGACTTTACAATTTAAAGACAGTATATGGAAATTAATATGGATATAATATATGGTAGTGTATATGGTAATGATAAAATGTAAATTGTTATCTGGCTCTTATCTGTTGCTTTTCACAGGTTGAGCAGCTGACAGATGAACAGAAAAATGGTATGTAAGACAACATCTTTATATTGTAATGTTTTATTAATGAGTTGCACTTACCTATCTTTACTTATTTTCCATATTTTCCTGTATTTTTCCCAGAGTTCAAGGCGGCCTTTGACATCTTCGTTCAGGATGCAGAGGACGGCTGCATCAGCACCAAAGAGCTGGGGAAGGTGATGCGGATGCTGGGCCAGAACCCCACACCAGAGGAGCTGCAGGAGATGATCGACGAGGTGGATGAAGATGGTACAGAATATCAAGTGTCACGTCCCATATCAGATATCATACAGGTTCCCATCACTCAGTGCAGATCAGATATCAAACAATATTAGATTGTATAAGAAGTACCATTGTTCAGTCAACATGCTGTGATTTACATCTGTGGGTTATAATAATTTCTAAAGACAAATCGCATTATTTGTCATTATCCAAGCTGTACAATAAAACTAGTGCATCAGATGGGCCATCTGACTCGCCTAGGAATAATCAGAGAGGTGACTCTCTGCACAGTAAGAATTGATGTTCAAAGCAATAATACAAGTGAGAGACAAGTGATGACAGACCCTCCCCACCAGAAAAGTTACATAGTCCCCCATCCCTTTTATTTGAGTTGAGAATTACCACAAAAGGACAATTCACATATTCTTGTTGTATTCTTTCACAAGAAACATATGTGTCTGCTGTACAGTATTGTATTACCTTATTGTGTCTGATGGTGCATTAAATTGGGCCTGTGTTGTGCCTGTAGGGAGTGGCACAGTAGACTTTGATGAATTCCTTGTCATGATGGTGAGATGCATGAAGGACGACAGCAAGGGCAAATCTGAGGAGGAACTGGCCGAGCTCTTCCGCATGTTCGACAAGTAAGTTTGTGTCCAACTTACACACTTGTTGCTCCAAGATGACTTTTAGTGTAACGTGGATATAGTTCTGTTGGGGAAGCATGTAGATTGCAACTGAAGCTTGAAGTATTAGATATTAGGGCTGTCAAAAAAACAATACTTGGATATTAAGAAACTAAAGTAAGTATCAATACTGAAGAAAAAACACAAAAAGGACCATGTTGAACCTTTCCTGAATAGTTTTAGAATGATCTAGAGCTATATCAGAATTAATATGAGAGCACATTATAAGAATAAAGTTTGCATTATTTTGTATTATGAAAAAATCCCATTATGTTGCGCATTCAGTTGTAATTGTGGAATCGAAACATTTGTCAGAATTATATTGGTCACCTCGTAGTAGGCACACTGTCAGAAACTGTTAATGTAACAATCCAAATCTCATGTCCAATAATACTGAAATATAAAATCTATTGCAATAGTGTATAGAGGGTAATATAGAAATGCTTCTTATTGATATATCCTTAAGGCATATAGTTTGTATTTGAGTGATCTTGGTTCAGCTTGCATCAATAGTAAACAATTGATGGAAGTTGAATCATCCTTCCATACTGTAAACTGTATAAGTACTGATACAAAAATTGCTGTACAAGAAAACAATGTAATTATAAAAGGCAGGACAATAACAGTCACCACATTCCCTGCATGTGTCGTGTGTGTCACCAAAAAGTCAGAGGACTAAAAGCAGTTCTGTGCAGTTCTGTTCTTAATGTTTTTGACAGCGGTAGACATTTCAAACGCCCACACTGTGTAGTCCAGACACCTTGTCTTAGCATCAAAGGGAGGAAGTCATGCTATATGTCTTTTCATATAAAAATAAATCCCATATACTTCAGCACGTATATTGAGTGTATTCTGTACACAGTTCACTATTCTGTACATTGTACAGTTGTGCATTATATTAACACAATGCTGTACAAGTGGATTCTGTTGCCAACACAATATTGATAAACTAAATATATTAGAAAATAGTAATCACATTAAGGTCTCAAATGAAAATGTGTTCTCAATTGAACATTCAAAAGGTATAGCATTTTACATTGTACATTTTTGCAACTCTACTATGTGCAAAACATTGAAAACATTGCCTTGTTTATAAAATGAAATGTGCTATACAACTAAAGTTGGAGAACTGTATACAGAATTTCAAATGGATATGCTGCTAAACTTGCTATCTTAAAATGGTCAGATATTAAAGAAATATGATATGGCAATATTGCATATTATACTGCCCAATATTACATTACGTTGCTTATTTCAGAAATGCAGATGGGTACATTGACCTGGACGAGCTGAAAATGATGCTGGAATCAACAGGAGAAGCCATTACCGAGGACGACATCGAGGAACTGATGAAGGACGGAGACAAGAACAACGACGGCAAAATCGACTACGACGGTAAGAAGCTCGCTTAATGAAATCTGCCTTATCACTGTCCCACAAGATTTATGTTCACAGCTCATTTGACCAAACTGCTAAATGACTTTTCCTCCCAGAATTCTTGGAGTTCATGAAAGGAGTTGAGTAATCGGACAGCACAGGGCCTTCCACATCCTTATTTTTGTAATTCTCTGGGACTTCATCTGTGGAAAAGCAGAACCTCAATGCTCAAATGCTGTTGATGAAAACCTCAGACCGACTTTGCAAGAAATAATGTTATTTTTTGTACCATCTTCTTGCATTGTTGTAAATACAGTTTGTAACTATAATTTTAGTATTATATAGTAATTATTATTATAAAATATACAATTAGACTACAGGTGGAAATCAGCACGTGCTGTTCCTGGCACAATGCATCTCTCCTGTGAAGGTTAATGTATATTGTGCACTGTTCCCCCTGTCTGATTAGTGTTTGATCTTTCCCTGGATTTGTGTAAATGTGTCTTGGTTTCCTGATTAAAAAATTATAATGTTGTAATTTGGTTAGTGTATGAAGGTGCTTCCCTCCACCTTTTATTCCCTGCATATTTCTACCAAAATGTCTATAATAAAATTATATACATTTGTCAATGCATTTGAGTTTTTGTTTTGTCACTAAATTCTCTCTTTTCTTTCTTTTAAAGGTGCACTATGTAACTTTTTGGTCAGCCACCTGCTCTCCATGGAGATGTTATTGCTTTGTTGGGTTGGTCAAGTTACAGGTCAGATCTAGGGAAAAAACAAGCTTGTTCAAAGTACAAATGCATTTATTTGGAGAAATAAATAATACATTTAAGTGAACAAATGCAAAATTGATAAATCTAATGGCATACTGTGGAACATTCAAGGCAGAGCAGTAACATTTTCATGGAGGCAAGTGTGACTAACCCTCCACCAGAAAAGTTACACAGAGCAGCTTTAAACAATACTCCATTCTCAGATTTTATATTTATTTCCTATTGTGCTTCAGTCATGTCAACTATTCAAGGTTACTGCGTTAGTGTCCAGTTACGGTGTCTATTGAGGCGAGCTATTTCAGTCTAATCATGTTAGTGCCCATGTTAGGGGATCTGGATTGACCCACAGCAGTTGACAATCACATTCCTTCATCCAAATAAAGGGTGTAGCGACAGCGCAAAGAGATTAGACCGAGCTATAGTTATTTCACCTCTCATTCTAACCTCGCTTTAGGAATAAAGTTACTCCAAGCTTTCAACAAGTATTAAATTACACAGCAGATTTTCAGTTTTTATAACACACACAAAAATGTACAATCATTTTCTGACTGTAGAGACAATTCTCAGGTTATTTTGGAGTTTTTTTAATGGTGCAGTTTACGCATTGCCCACTGGATGTCGCCAAGAAAGCATAAACATAGTTCCATTGTTGGGGGCAGTATAGTATGTCAAACGGTCGAACACTCTCACTCCTGAATTAATAACTGCCAAACATAATGCTCAATCGGCAATATAGTTTGCTGTACATAAGCAGTTTTAGTAATTAATGGAACTTATATAGTGTTGTTACATAAAGAAAGGGCCTGCATGGGAATCACTAACTGTATTTTGGCTTCATTTATCCCCATTCATTGTGGCGACTGCAATGAATACACAAACAGATTAAAGCTTTAGACAACTTGAATGGGAGTATTTTTTTTTTTTTTACCAGCGTGGTGACGTCAATGTCAGGCTGACGACACACACGCTGCCATCTCTGTGTGTGTGTGTGTGTGTCTCTCTCTCTCTTCCTCCTTATTACCAACGCACCATGGATCACCATTCATCAAATCCTTATTATTCAGTGTCAATGTAAGACACAAATTACCTGACTATAGCCTACTTAATAGCCTGTGCGTCTTTATATAGAGTTGGACAGTGATTTACTATGGCACAAATTAGATTGCCTTAGTGTGGATAGGGGTGAACACTAGTAGGGAGGCATCAATGAAAGGCAGGGCCGTAGCAGTGGTAACTAAGCGGGCAGAGTGTGAATGAATCTGGGGAGTGGCAAACTGGGTGGAGAAGAGGGTTACATAAGGAAGGCCTGTAGATGACTCATGCTTGCGGTTAATAACACTACGGTTATGAGCTGACAAAGTACTTCTCACAGGCACAGGTAAATAGGGCACCTGCTTCCTGGTACTACGCAATACTTATCTATGCCCTTTGTCAAGAGAAGGGTTAATAGGTTGGCAAGCACTGATAAGTAGTAAGATAAGACGGCAAGTATTTGGAGACAGTTAGATTTGAGAATAAAATCTACAACCATAGATTTACCAATCATGGAGACTATTCGTTTCAAACATGTTGATTAAATAAAATTGCATAACAAATATGTTGTAGTATAACTTTCTTCTATAATCGATGGAGATCAAAATTAACTACACTGAACTACTCACAAAAGTAAGGAGTTAATGAAACTATTCCATCAGTGATCCACCAATCTGAGCTGAATGGTTATCACCAGTTCTGTTGAGACATGTAATAATAATAATAATGTAACTGATTTACATATAACTTCTCATGACATGAAAGCTCTTTACATAATTTATATTATTCATTCACTCCACATTCAGTGGTGGTGAGCTTCCACTGTAGCTACAGCTGCCCTGTGGCAGACTCATGGAAGCAAGGCTGCCAGTTTGTGCCATCGCCTCCTTTGACCAACACTAGTCACTTGTACACCACCTTACAGGTCAAGGTAGGTGAAGTGTCTTGTACACAGCAACAGCCACTGCTTCCCCTCTGTGGTACCTAGTAGTCCCCCACCCAAACACTAACCTGGCTTAGCTTAGCTTCTGAGATCAGATAAGATCAGGTGTTGACAAGGCAGTATGGCCACATATGAGACATTAGAGGCCATTTTGTTCAGCTGTTACATTTTACACGAACAATGGTGTATTCCTGCTTAAGGAGTGGTTTAGTAAAGCACTTTTAATTGGTGTCTTAATTATTTACTACACATTCAAACTTCAGTTTCCTAGCTTCCTCCTGAAACACATAATTCACTCTTACTCTTACCTCTGTTATCTACAGACATGATTCCATAAATCACCCATTTGTCTGAGATCACATATGAACAGCCCAACCATTAAATTGTCTTAACCTCTGTTACAAAGCTTCCCCAAACCAGTGTGGGCTTTCTCAATATTTGGGCAGCTTAGAATGATTTATAGCTTCATAAAAGAATCATAAAATCCCCGGAAGAGTAAGGAATACCCCGGACACGCTTCAGACCATACAGCCGTTCACAGCTCATCTCCACCGCCCACACATGCCCGGAGAGCGTGTGTGCGCCAGGGCTTTTGGGTTTAAAGGATTCCTGTTTTTCTGGCTTCTCTGCATCACATGGCCCTGGCTCTGGTCCAACACCGGATATCAAGGCCCATTTCTGGAAATCTCTTCACAAGCACAAAAGCATAAACTGCATGGACGCGTGTTCATGAATGATCTACACGTACTGTCAGCTGGGACTCTATGTAGGTCATGAGTGGATGGCGGGAAGAGCTCCAAATCTAATTAGAAGTAATGACAATGTAACTGCATAACTTCTCATTTAAGTGTTATTGCTTTGTATAAGTAATATTTATTTATTCATTATTCATTAACCTTTATTTAATCAGGTTAGGCTCATTAAGATTGCAAGGTTTTAGCACATTTCAAAACACAAGTTACAAAGACATTACTAGTATTTCTTCTCTAAAAAAAAATGTAGTGAGCCAAATACATTACTGAGAAACACATATTTATTTCTTGTCATTTTACTTTTTGGATGGATGATTAGTTGTTGTTGTTGTTGTTGTTGTTGTTGTTGTTGTTGTTGCCATAAATACACAGAGGAAGTGGAACACTGGAAGCACAAATCAAGTTGAACAGGCCGAATATTGTATGGTGATGCTCCGTCCCACTTGTAGTGAGGAGAACACTGAAGTACTGTTCCTTCTCACTGGGTCATAAAGGCCTACTCAGAGCAGGCCTAAAAGACACAGGATTCTCAGAATCCACAATAACTATTCATTCATTCACATGAATGACAGCAATTGTTCTGTTTAATGTACCACCAGTGGGTTTGTCTATTTTTACACATGTAAAAGGAAAACTTCTGTGTAAAAGACTGACGGGAACATGTTCCTCGTGTCAAAGGCGAAATGCTGGTCAGAGAACACAATAACATGATGAAAATATGCAGTTTAAACAAAACAGTAGGGTAAAAAACTCATTCAAATATACACACATGTCATGTCCATATTTTCACAATATTTTGGTATGTGAGAAGAGTTTAACCTTCAAAAAATCTGTGCACTACTCAAGAACATAAACACATAAAACCTGAGACAACTAAGGAGCAGATGCACAAATGCATAGTCCTCATCGGTCTCCGCAGTCATGTCCACTGAGAATGACATCATTATCCTCTCTCTTCACTTGGAGCAGTCCACAGCACACTGACTTTGGCTCCGGCTGTGCATTCAACAACATATGTCTGAGTGTGAAAAGAACTGCTGACTACAAGATGGTCCCCCTGTTCCCTGTGTACCCCCCAAACACAAACATATGACAGACACATGACCTTTGCTCAGCACCAAGCCTATTACAACTCTGCAAATCGTGTTTTTGATTCGATTAAACTCAACAAATCTGCCTGTTCATGTGCTGGGTGAGTGCGTTACACGACGGAGGAGTTGGCCACAGATCGGAGGACTTCTGGTGTTGACAGATGGCTGCTCCACTCTGCCACTATTCCATGTGGCTCTGCTTTACTCATGACCCAGTAAAGGCTTTGCCAAAACTCGCACTTGTCCCGCGCTAACTACTGTTTCTTCAGAGTTTGGAGGAGGACTTTGTGACGGTCTGTGTGATAAGTTTATCAGCAGCAAGTTCCTGAAATGATAACATGCTTCCTGTTCTTGTTCACAAAGTCAAGTATCTAAGACAAATTTGTTTAGGTGGTGAATTTGGATCAAATACATTTAAAGTTAAGACATAATTCAGCTAAAGAAAAAGAGATGCACTATGTAACGTGTGTAGAGCCTGCCATCTGCTTGTCTCCAGATATTGTTTTGCTTTGATTCTGTAATGTTCCACAATATGGCATTAAATTTGCTTAGTTACATAGCACACCATTAATAATACCTTTTCTTGCATAATTTTATAGATATCATATCTATCTCTGGAAAATAATCAAGTTATGTCAGTAGTGTATTAAATGATAATAAACAGAATGAATATAAGCAGCATTTACCCCCGAACTACAAGAACATAATCAGGGCCCTTTGTCATGACCTTTGCCAGATCTTAAAAAAAAAAATTTAATTTTAATTTATTTTTCTATTTAAAGCACTGATGAAAGTTTAAATGTATACACTTTCTTTAATTATTTGTAGGAAATAACCAATTCCAATATATAAAATGTATTGACTTGGCAACTGAGCAATAGTAAAACCACTCAGTTGCCTGTGGTATGATTCAAGGCCTAATAGAATCTACTGGTAATCCCCAACAACCGGAAACAGCGTAGCCAGCGTTACAATACAGATATACATAGCCCCATGGTTTAGTTTTAGCCTGTTGAATAGTTAGAGCGTGAGTGCATTCTGGTCCAGAGGAGAGGAGCAGAGACGTCTCAGTGGACATGATGTCATCCCTCATTCAGCAGCACGGTGATGTCACACATTTGGCCAAATAGTCAGATTAGGATTACTTTCTTTGGCTGTGCACTGCAACACTGGGATACTGGGATTTTTGGAAGCAAATTATCCCAACAGTGATCAAAAGATTACAAGCAACATGTTTTCCCACTACATGATAGAATTTATACATGGTCTTGTAAATAAACTATAAACTGTGTTAGATTAAAGGGATAGTTGTCCAGTTACTCAAGTCCACTATAAATATACAGTATTATTATGGCTACATATGGTCTGACTGATCTGACATTAAATAGGGCAGTGGTTTTCAAACTGTGGGACAGGTACCATGTTGGGATTGTTCTGGTGCTACTGAGCAAACCTTTGCTGGTTTAGTCCTATATGTATTTATTTATTTAATAAGAACACTGTAATTAAGTAGTTAAAAAAATATTAAGGCCTTTTGGAGTACCTTGTTTACATTACTGAAAATGTTTTCTGAGGTTGGCAAATTTCTGTGATAAGAAACAATGCTCAAGTTTGTAATCTAATGCTAAAAATCTTTATCCTTGTATTAATCATCCTTTATTGTATTAATCATACAATTTGTTAACGTTTGCAGTTATGAATAGCCATACCTCCCCCATAAAGCAGATGGATTTGAACTTTTGCCTAAGGGTGTACTGTAAAGTCATATTTTAAATCATTACAGCTACACTACACTACACTATACTTGAGCCATTTCCTGACAGTAGTTCAAATATAGGTTTAATAAAGCTGGTCACATTGTACAGTATTACATAAGGTGGTGTGAATGAAAGCATTCTGAATTGTACCTGTTTCTTCTCACAATGATCAGAACACTAGAATGTGATTAGAGCTCAGCTTTGTCACTTCAGAAGCACCACGCACATTCTCCCACACAAACACAACAGGCCCGGTGTAAATAAGACACTGCCCCTCCTTCCTCTAAAGCCAAAATCCGGTCAGTTTCATGCACATCTGCTTCCTACAAACTTGTGCTGACTTGGCACTATCCTCCACCTTCCTTTACAAGTAATCACAAAAACACCGCCCTACTATCTTTCCCATTATCAAACAGTTAATAAATAGGTATATAAAATTAAATGAATGACTCAAAAAACATAAAATATTTACAAGGACCCCACAGTGTGACTTTGAAGCAAGCTCTAGCAGATAAAATTATTATGTCATGGAAATGCCTGAGCTTAAATTTCAGGTGAGGCGCACAGGATGCCAAGAGATCTTAAAAACAGCTGCACGGAAATGGTTCCCAGTGAAAATAAATGTTTGAGAGGTTGCTATGTGACTGAAATAATTGGTATTTGAGTGCACGAGGCTCTTTTGTACATGCTCCACAGTGTATACAGCAGTAATAACAGACAACACCTGTGTGATTAATGCTTAGCTGCCTCCTGTAGCAGCAGCCTCACAGCTTCATATCGTGGGTGTCTTTTAGGCCTAATCATAGGTTTTGCCCGGCAGGTATGTGGCTGGCCAGGTTCAGTCATGCTGGCCCATTACTCAACACGGCTCTTATTATCACTGGCTGCAAGGTGCTGCTATGGCAAGTCCCTTCATGCACACACCACTCCGCTGCAATAAAAATTGAACATTTCTAGTTTGAACCCACTCAAATATTCTCAGTCATCTTCAAAGGCAGAGCTCACAGTGGATCAGTGCTGCATTTAAGGCACAGAATCCAACCAGCTGGTAATTGGAGCATGAACTGATAGAAAGTTTAACAAGTATTTAACCCACTTTGTAAAATATTTATGTCTGTCTGGAGTTATCTATCCAAATACAGTCATCAATGTATGCACTTGCATTTAAAGTGCCCTATGTAACTTTTCTCATTGAGGGTCTCTCACCTCCTGGTCTCCATGGATATTTTATTGCTTTATCTGGAATTGTTCCACAGTAAATCATTATTTGTCTCTAACCCTAACCCTAGACACATTTGGGTGACACCACCAGTCCAGTCCAGGACAGGACTGATCTGGACTGATTTCCTCATCAAAAACATACCTGGAGTTTAGTTTTCTTTCATTCACACATTTAACACACAAACCCTGCATATTTATGCTGTATTCTTCTCTCAAACAAAAAACACTCAGTTCCACCATGTGGTAATAGAGGAATGGCTCCACTGTTTTTTTTAAACTCCATACACTTTCACTACAATGATTTGGATAATTTCAGTCCAGGAATTGCCTCTACTGAATAAAAGTTAAGGAAAATTAATATTCTAATTGAATAAATGGAGACAAGCAAGTGAAAGATTATGCAGCACTTTGATGTAGTTATATAGTTAAAGTAGAGTAAGTCTACCGCACAAATCAAAACACGCTCATTGATTACCTGAACATCCAAATAGAACAAGCTGTAATTAAACAAAAAATGTTATTTGATGAATAGTACGATAATAAGGATAACTAAAGAGGGACTTTTCTTGTATAATTAATGTCTTTTTTAACACAAGTAATTTAGTCAGATCAATATGTCACAAGGGTGTTAATGCTAAAAAGGAACATTAATTTCCTCTTTTGCTGACACACCAAATGTTATCTTCACAGGATATTACTTTAAAAACCACATATGAAATAAGTGTAAATGTAGATCTTTCTATGTCTAATGCTTGTGTGTTGCTGACAGATCATTAGGACTTCGAAAGTTGCAGACAGTGACAGTATGACAGACTTGCAGACTTGTGTATGTAGAAAACAGGCTGCTGTGTCATCTTCTTCCTCTCCCCCTGTTTGAGTGACTGGCCGTGGGTGTGTCTGCGTTCTGCTATTGACAGATCTGGCCCTGTCACTTGTGTCTGTGTCAAAGGCCTGTGGGAGACAGGAAGCAAGCATCAACAAAAAAACAGACAAGGGACCACACCTACAGCCCCAGGTCGCACAGAAAAAATATGTACTCACCACTGTCCAGCTCCAACGCTGAATGTCAAATTCTTGAATTTGAGCAAGATAGAAAACCACAAAAATACAAAGACACTGCCTAATACACATAAATATACCATGGGGCTATTTTAAATCAAACTTTGTTATTTTTCACTTTTTCAAAATTATTGATTCTTCTAAATCATAATAAATGTCTAGTTATGACATCTACTCTATATTCAAGTTACTAATAAATTAAACTTAATATTCATTCAGAAGTATTCCTTCACAACAACTTATCTGGGTCTTTTTTGCTTACTTCTTTACAATGTTTTGTAAAGAAGTAAACAAATGTATCTCTATAAGCGTTTTCAGGTCACGTTTTGGATGTTGAATCACAAGTTCTCACAATCCTGATTCACAAATGCTAGAGAGACAATTTTAGTTTCTATTAAAAAAACAAGGAGGCATCTTCAAGTAAAAATATACATTATATTTGTTGTATAAACTTGTACAGAATGTCTTGGACATTTAGTTTTATATACTTTACAGAGTTGGTCAGACAGGGCAATTTTCACATCCTTAGTGAGAAAACATTCCCTATAGCAACCATGTTTTATGTACATCTTTACAAACAGGAAACAAACAGCTCTTGAATGAATGTGAAGAGGCTGTGACGAGAAGTTTGTATAAAAATCCCTGAAAATGTGTGAGGTATGAACAGATTAGCCAAATTAGCTTTCTTCCTCTCATCTATTTGTTTTGATACAAGTAGAGAATGAATCAACTTTGTTTCCCTTAATGCTTTTGTGCCAAAGAAAGTGTAGCTGCAAAGGTTTTGTTAAACATATGTGAACATCCGTTTTCTCTATAATAAGTATTACATCTTTGTTACTGTCATTCATGGTAACAGCCCATCCTATTTTGTACTCCACCCTGAATGATGCATTATTTCAAAGCTTGTTATGTTCAACTCAAGGCCATAGTTGCAATAGTGTGGTCCAAGAAGTGCATATAAAATACTAATAATGGCAACATTGTAAATTTGGGTAATGCTTAGACAGCAACTTCCATAATAATCATACACATAAGCATGGACCAATACTGTACTGGATTACAATTAAAAGGCCTGATTATGTAAGCTCATTTCATTCAGTACCATTATAATATCCATGATTGGTCCCCTGTTAAACAATTGGACTGGCCCAAGCCTCCCATTGGACAATCAAGGCATATTAATATTGAAAATACCAAAACATAGTCTATATACTTGACAGCTGGTCAAAAGCATATAACAGTCGTTGTCACAAACATCCAAGATATTATAGAAAAGTTACCGAAAATGTCCATTATTTATGAATATTGAGAATCCTGTAAAGAAATGTCTGTGTTAAGGCGTTAAGTGAAGCTTATTGACTGCACACAGCTTCATTCAATGTTCTTCCTTTTGGTGGATAGCCATGGCATACTGTCTTTTAGCTTGATCTGACAAACTCAAATTAATTATGTAGTTGTATAATTGTTCCTCATGAGGATTCCAGAGTGTCCAGCTGGAAGACATTGTGATTGGTTGGGGTGGTGAAGAACAGCTGCTCTTTGCCTGTGGCGCGGTTATCACAAGGACTGTGCAACCCCAGTGTCCTCTCAAAGTCTAACAGTTGGCCCATGAAGTTAAAGTTTGGAGAAATGTTGGACTTTTTCCTCTTGACAAAGTCGTATGCGTCGTTGAGTGAGAGGTTGAGTCTTTGCATCAGATAGGCGACAGTGACCGTGACCGAGCGGCTGATTCCCGCCAAACAATGCACCAGGATGCCACAGCGCTTTGACCGAGCCTCGTCTGTCGGGACAAGAGGAAATGTGGTCAGCATATTGTGTTTTAGTTTCCTGAAGAAAGTGGTCTATGCATAGGAAATACTCTTGTTTACTTGGCTGTGGATGCAAAAACAGGAAGCTAGCAACAAGAAAGCTCATTTACCGCTGAATGTACAGAGTGCGTCATGTGTCTAATATCCTGTTGCAGACAGACATGGGCAAACAACTGTAAACCAAACAAGAGCTTGAGCCTGAGGCTGTGTTAGCGCTGCAACATGTGAGTCTATGTAGAACACAGCCACAGTCAGCGGCGGAAGCTGTGTTTCCTTCAGCTGCCGGTGCTCCACCACTAACACCTTTCAAAAACTAGTTCATGACACAAAGCCATAGCACACAAACAAGCCCTGTGGTTACAGAGCAGCTGTGGGGAGTTTGTGAATGAAAAGAAACACAGTAAAATAATATGTAAAACATGTGACTGTGGAGAACTAGATAATCTGTGTAATGTAACTTCATTGTTAACAACATAAACATATATAGTTAGAACTAGACTTTACTTCACTCACCTATAAATGATATTGCTTCAGGGAAGAACTGGGACAGGTTTTCACTCCAGTGGTCTGAGATAGGGATCTGTTTGTACCTGAAGTGCCCCTCGTGCTCAAACATGTTGGGTAGGTTGGGTGTGACATTGAGGATGTACTTTATGTTGTACTGGCCCAGGACATCCAGGTTAGTGGAGTCTTTGGCACAGCCCAGGTACAGATAGGGCAGTATCTTCACAGGAAATGCCGGCTGATTGTTGGGTATGGGACTCTCCTCTGATTCTGTGGCACTGCTGGGTTCTCGGTCCGACTCTCCGTCTGAACAGTCGGAGCTGATCCGGAGGTTTCCGAACCCCAGCACAGATAGAGGAGGAGAAGAAGTGGGACACGGACTGTCCAAGAGGGTCTCACAGTGATCTGGATATTCTGTGTGGAACTTTAGAAATCCACCTGAACAGAAGTCAGAGCACATAGTTAGAGGGGATATACGTTTTTTTCTTCACTATCAATCTAATAAATAATACAGTATAGTCTTATTTAATCCTAAAGAGTTAAATCTCAAGACACAACTGAACCAACTCAAGGTCCTCTGACAAATACCATTCATGAAATGCATGCCTGTTCCTGCTGGAGCAAAACATGGCGCGGCCATTTTGGAATTTTAATTAAGAATCTCAGTGACGCAAACTTTTATCAGGGAGACACTTCATAAGCCAATGGGAAAAGGGGAAAATAAAAGTGTGTAGTAAAAGTTCTGATACTTTAACAAGACTATAATATTCATGGCCTTATAGCAAGTAGGCTTACTAGTAGCCTATTGCAGATATATATCCTTGTAATACATGTACTAAGACTACAACAAATCAGACACACTTGTAGCGCACTTAACAGATTAGTTCATAAGAATATAGAGAAGAGGTTAGAAATTTGGTGTCCTAACAGCCTTATAACAATAATACAGATTGGGTATAGTGAAAAAGAGTGAACTACTGCCAAAGCTCATGCTGTTTTGACTCACGTTACATGGTCAAGTACAACTAACTCTGGTTTCTAAATGACATGTGCATATATTACCCACCTTCCAGGTAGTACGCCTTACAGCCGTCTTCCCAGAGTTTGTGCAGCAGTAGTCCCAGAACACTCGGCGGTCCACTCTCCTGCCAGTTCACCGTGCACTCGTCGTACACTACTATCGTGTCCGTTTTGCATCGCTTTAGGAACTTCTCCTTGTCCTCGTTGTTGGATATGATAGTCCGGATTGGTATATTGCCCTTTTTGAACCTCCGTAACATTAGTCCCGGGATGGCCAGGTTGATCGCGGTCTCGATGTGAGATGATTCATAAAGCTCGTGTGATCGGCAGTCCAACAGGAGCAAAGAAGTGCCCCCGGACTCCAACTCGAGTTGCAGCCATTCCGCGCTTTTACTCGGCGCCTCATTAGACATATCGGAGTCAGGAATACTCTACATGAAAGCGTGAACACTTACTACATTGTCTACGAAGCGGAGATTAACTACATTTTAGCCGAACTAAAGTTGCGTTAATGCATGCTGCCCCAGCGGTGCGCGGCGCTTGAGCCAGAGCGAACGGATTCCACCTCTTTTCTCCTCTCACTTTCCATCAGTCCAACAGTGTGAGCCTTCACCGTGACTAGTAGAGACCAAACACCCGGTTTTACTAGATAGAAATCTGTAACAACAACAAAAACTGGTTTACAAACTCTTCGTCGTGCCAAAATCCTTTACGCACATTGTCGTTTTGCCATTCCGACGCACGAGGCTTTTTTCTTTTAGTTGACAGTAGAGCAACTCAAGAGGGAGGAGTTTATTTCTTGTGATTTAAAGTCATAGCAGGGAGGGCTCTAACTTTGCCATTAAGAACTTTTCAGTCTAGTATTTTTGTCAACGACGGTTTTGTCTGTGGTCCGATTTATTTGCGCAAATGTAGGTCAAGCACAACTGCACTTTGACATGAATATGTAATAGCTAATTTGGTAAAGTTAATAACCACTGCTACAACTGAGATAATCTGCAACTGAATAACTTGGCATTTTAACTGAGCCATACTTCATCTACTTGGCCTATTTACAGTGTCGATAAGGAAATGGCTACCTTAATTTTGGTAGGCTAGAGACTATAGCAACATGCCTAGAAGTGAGGTGAGTAAAAGAAAACAAAAGTAGGTCTACTGAAAGAAAAACAACAACAACAACCACAACAACAACAAAAAACCTGGCTCTAATATTTACACTACTACAGCCATTCGTACCAATATCCTAGAGTCTACAATTAAACCTGATTACCTACTCCCCACTTTGCGCTTTAGGTTATAGTCAAATATTGTCTAAAATTTAAAAACTGAAAACCCATTTAGTATGAAGTTTTTCCACATGTCATAGCATTTTATTAAGGATTATGACGGTGCTTTCCTTCGAGTGTCCTGCAGTATGGGATTAAATTTATCTGTTTTACATTTATTTAATCACAGGTGTTGCGTTGAAAAACATACCTCTCCACAGATCTGACTTATAATTTGGTCTGGTAGCATCAACTGCTTATCTCCCATGGAGATAGATACGTATGTTTAATGGCATACTGTGGGACACAAAAAAATTCTAAAATTTTAAAACAATGGTTGTCTGACAGTCAAATATTACACCATCTCTAACAAATTATATTTTTATATTGAGGTGTTGTTGTTTTAACCTTAAATTTTTAACTAACATCAAATTAACTGTTCTTATAACTGTATGTATAGTAAATGTGCTGATTTTGCTTTTGTGATTGTTACTGTACTTTTCCCTGTCCTATAGACTGTTTGACATCAACATGCCAAAGGACTAAAGGTGGAAAATAGCCACGTTGGCTATAATCTTTAAATCTTTACATCTTAAAGGTTCATATATGCTGTGCCATTACAAATAACTGAAATAAGAAATTCCACCTAAAGCATTCGTAGGGTATTTCTTTGAAGACAAGAGGATGGTGTATAATCAACCGGAAAAGTTACATAGTGCACCTTTATCTATATAACTGCATCAATGTGCTGTATATGTTTTTCATTAGAATGCATTACATGCAAAATGAACCCTCTCAGATTACAGAACAAACTGCAACAGATAGAACAAACTGATTTAAATATCCTGGAGCAGGGAATCTCCTCTGTTTTCACAGTGCATTAATTTGTGACCAGGAAAAAATTACTATTTAGCATTCTCTGTCCAAAGTGCCTGTGCATCCATCATACTGTATAAAATATAAGGGCATTTTTAAACCACAGCATTCCTGTGGCACACTACTGATGTGTAAAATAATGCATGAAACAGTGAATGAAGACTGGAGAGCTGGGGAAGCTTGCAAAGGGGAGGAGGATGAGGGGGGCTAACCATGCAGATCATCTGTCCACACACGTGAGTGGGGGAGACGCAGATGTGCTGCACGCTGGGATTAACACAAAATGAAGGAAGAGAGTTAAATCGGTGCACATTTTACACACAACACAACAGCCTTCAGCTATGTACAGATCATACACATGTACAGGGACCATACCAACACCTCCTATCATCACCATTTTCTACAGACATTAAAGCAAGCATTGTATTCACACCACATCACACAATAAGGTCAATAAATGCATTAATGTGAATGATAATAGCCTGTTATAGGGGGCATTAGGCATAATATTGGCATGTGTTCTGGTCGATTTTTTTTCACAATATAAAATATGTTCCTCTTTTAGTTGGAGGAAATGGGCCAGTTTCCCCGTGCTTAATCAAGGTACATAAAACAAAAATCCACAAAAGTGCAATCTCATAACATACAATTGATAAAGTCAATTATTCTGACTGTTTATCCAACCAAGAACTTTTAGATGTAAAAATGTAGTTTTTTCTTTCAATTCTAAAGTAAATTCTACAAGTTTATCTTGTGATGTTATCAAAAACCCTGCAATAATGTAAGACTGTTAACCACAAAGCACCACATGCTGTAAGCAGGTGTGACAGTCAATCTTGTTTATCAATAATTAGCAAAAGTATTGGATCAGTATATTAAACACATTAATCAAGTTTTGATCTAAGTGAATTTCCACTGCAGTGAACTTGCATGATACTGGTGGTCACCTGACTGCTTACCCCTCCATCACACCACACTACTATCCATGTAGGTTATGTAACAGCCAACAAAGTGCTCAGAGTGATTTGGTCATAAGAGAGAGGAAATGGTCTCTGGTACTCCACAAGATCCTAGGTACTTGTGTGTATCCTGGCATCCCACTTTAATACTAACATAGGCTGTAGGTAACTACATATAAAGGATATAGCATTTCTACTCCATTGAAATTGTTTTATTATCCCTTATCTAGACTGTCATTAAATGCATGAAGACCAAAAGATGGTTATGAATAAATATAAGAGTCTTACAATAACATGCATTTAACCATATCCTCCAATGGAACTACATAAATAGATACTTTATTACACAGAAATGCTGGTATCAATTTCCTTTTAATCTTATCTTCCTAGTGCACAAGCAATATCCTGTTCTCTATCACTCCCATCTAGTGGTTTCTTCTGGAAGTAGTTCGCAGCAGCTGTGAGTCATTTACGGAGGGAGGAGGGGGCACCTGATGTAACAGCCATTTAGTTGCCCAAAAAGAGAACACGTTCGCCCTCACGTGGTCGCAGTGTGAATTTAAAAAAAAGCACTTTGTGAATGAACTTGAAAAATGATCTTACAAACACTCACATTCCACTACACTACACATAGTTGAGTACATAGTACAGATGTTTTCAGTGTATTAACTAAATACATTTTTTGAATATAAATGCTTCTACATATCACCCCGTTTGGTATTTCTAAATTTATAATCTTCAAAATCACTTGTGCTATCATTTCATTTTTTCCATGCTAGTACACTTCAGTTTGGATTAAATATTTGCTTAAAATGATCTATATAAATTATTTATATAGGTGTATTAAAAGTGAGGTAAACTGTGTGAAACATAACAAATATTATTTACATAGGGATGGGAGGATAATTGGTATTAAAGGTGCACTGTGTAATTTTTCAGGCTGGGGGTTCGCTACTATGGATGCTATTACTTGGCCTGTAATGTTCTACAATATGGTATTAAACATACATAAGACATATTTATTAAATGGGTGTTTTTTTTGCTTGATACCTTTAAATTGATGGGCACTCTACCAGAAAAGCTATACAATGCACCTTTATGGTATACCACACTAACAAAATGCCATGGTACTGTGAGGATGGACTTAGTATATAGACCTAAAAATAGCAGGCTACTAGTTTTGCCCTGATAATTGCTCTGTGTTTCCTCAAATCTCTACCCATCAAAGTAGGGCACAACCTAAAATCAAAATATAGTTTGAAACACTTTTTAAAATTAAAAGTTAAAGTCCTTTGCATTTGTTAATATAAAATACAATGACAGTTATCAATTTTATACTGTCCCATCCTACAAGTACATATGTGTTGTGGTTCATGTCATGCTACTGCAGGTAACCTTGTGCTGAGGCCTGTGAAGTAAAACTTTTCGCGTTCACTCATGAGGTCAAAATGAAGAGGCTGCTGGCAGAAAGAGCACTCAGCTGACGAGTGAGGCACAAAGGACAGGCCCACTGCTTTCCAAGTCTTCACCAAACAATCTGTTCATCCAAATATAGACAGGTGTTAAAATATACCAATAAATCATGTCATTAACTGTTTCCACAATAACATACCGACAAAGTAGAACATCATTTGTGGAGTGTGATGTGGTGTGGGGGCGATGCGTAGCAGCTCCTCTCCTTTAGCTACAGTTGGGTGGTTGATAGCTTGAACATAAATATTGTACAGACACATCATGGTATCACAGATTTCCATGTTCTTCTTTGCGTCTGCCACCTATCAAGATAATTATAATGTTTACTGTCTGGCACATACATAAGTTCTACACTGTTAATATGCTCAGGAAAGGAAACATCATGACACCATCACAGACCTTTTGAATCTAGACTCAAAGCTTTAAATCAGAACATTTTTTCAGACTTGCTTTTGACATTTATGTAATGAAGTTTGCTTTATTATTTTAATGTTGATTGTATTGTATGCTTTTATATTGTTGAGTTTATAGGAAAGCACTCTGGTCACCTTGAGTGTTATAAAGGGCTCTATAAATAAGGATTTATTGTTTGACTGATCATTGCAATATTGTAGATACATCAGTGCTTACCAGAAAATTGATGATTGATTTATCAAGCACTTTTCCAGTATCCTTGACTGATATCTGATTAAGTCCATTTTGATTCTAAGCATAAGATAGAGTCAACACCTTTTTGTACTTATTACATGTTAAATAAGTATGAGACAAGCTCTTTATGTGCACACACATAAGGAAAATGGATTTTGTTGTTTGGATTATATTGGACAGTTTTCAATTTTGCTGAGTTACCCCTCTTGAGAAGCTGAAACTCTAAAAAAAAAAGTGAGGCTAAATGTGTGAACTGAATCCTTCTTGAGGACCCAATCTCATGCCATGAAAATTGTGTCTTGTGGAACCCATTAAAATGTTGTTTCTGGAATAATGTCCGAAAAAACCTGAGCCTGAAATAAATTAACTCTAACTAACTCTACATAAACAGAAAACCACTTGAAATGTGAAAAACGGCCGGGTTTCACTTGTTTTGACTGCTACAAAAACACCAGTTACTATTTACGGATGACTGGTGCCCTCATCCGGTACATGGCACTAATTCCTTGTATGTGTCACTTTTTCCTTACTCTGACTGGGATAATGTGGCTTGGGCAGTGAACCACAGGAAGACCAGAATCCATCAACAACTGGCGCAGCAGTGTGACACTCCTCTGATGTCTGCGCCTCAGCACTTGGCCTTCCTCTGTCTTCAGGATTTTCACAGACTCCTTTGCTCCGGCCAGTAACATCGGCGGCAGTGAAGTGGTAAAGATGAAACCTGCAGCGTACGACCGCACCGTGTCAACCAGAGCTGCAGTGCTAGCAATGTAGCCGCCCACACAGCCAAAAGCTTTGCCTAAGAGAGACACATTCGGGTCAGTGAGTAGTTCATATTTATACAGTTAGAATGGCTTGAATTACAAATGTTAACGTTGATTTCAGTAATTGTTTATATCCATTTAGTTCATAGACAGCCTTCATAAACATGCCTTCATGTTTGAGCCCAGATTAGTCCTGATGTAGACCTGATTTAGTTCTGTTCTTGTCCTGGTTTAGACCTGACTGAGTCCAGGTTTATGTCTGGTTTTAGTCCCACTTTTTTATATTATATACATTTTCCTGATAGCAAAATAATCTACCATATACAAAAAATGCACCTTAAAATGACTTTTAAAGTAGCCACAAAAATTACCACTTATCTGTGAATATTGCTCACCAAGTGTCCCAGAGATGATGTCCATTTTGTTCATGACTCTGTCTCTCTCTCCAATGCCTCCTCCTCTGGGTCCATACAAACCCACAGCATGCACCTCATCCACAAAGGTCAAGGCACCATGGCGATGAGCAGTATCACACATCTCCTCTAGAGGGCACACAGCTCCTGGAGAAAGCGATAGTAATTCAGTTACTGCATTATAAAGGTGAGTCAGATACTGCAGGTGTATGTACATTTCCAACTGTGTGTTACCATCCATTGAATGAACTGTCTCAAAGGCCACGATTTTTGGAGTGTTGGGGTCAGATCTCTCCATAAGCTCTTGCAGGTGGCCGACGTCATTGTGACGAAAAACAAACTTCTTGACACCACTATTTCTTATGCCCTGGATCATCGAGGCATGGTTCCCAGCATCAGAGTAGATTTCACAACCTTTAAAAGCATTTCAAATAACATAGTTAAAGGTGCCCTGTGTAACGTTTCTGGTGGATGGTCCGCCATCTGGTTGTCTTAATTATTTTAGTTTGCATGTTCCACATTATGTCCATGGAGACAACCAGATGACAACCTGGGTAAGTTGCTGGTCAGATCTGTGGAGAGGTGCACACTCTCTCACAATAAGAATGCACATTTGAATGCGATAAAAGACCTGTGGTTGAATAAATGCAGAATAGAAAACTTTAATGGTATATGCTGGAACATTCCACATAAAGCATTAATATTTGAACAACATGGGACAAGCATGTGGTGCACCTCTCACTAGAAAACCTATATGGTGCACTTTCAATTTATAGAAGAGAATTGAGTTTGCATCAAATTGTACATTTTACTTACCTGGAAGCATCTTTGCTAATGTAAATAAAGTGGAATCATTTGCCACAAAGCAGGACGTAAATAGCAGTGCCGCCTCTTTGTTGTGCAGATCTGCCAACTCGCTCTCAAGTTCCACATGAAATTCGCTGGTTCCTGAAATATTTCTTGTTCCTCCAGAACCCGCACCATGCTTTCTTAAGGTCTCCCTTTAAATGAGATAAAGTAAACAATTATACTTCACTTAATTAAAGGTGCAATATGTAATTTTTCTGGTGGAGGGGCCTTTATTTAACATTACTTAGAATGTTCCACAGTATGGCAATAAACTTATCTATATCCATGAGGAACACCACCAGGCCTTGTCACAGATTTGAGAAGATGAGAGCTCTTTCAGAGTATTTCAAGGTATTTTTAATCAATGAAAATGAATAAAATTGCATAAATATAAGAGAGCTTAATATAATACTGTGGAACATTTCAGGCAAAGCAAACACATCTTCGAGGAGACAAAAGTTAAGTAGTACAGATTTAAGAATACAGTTGACAATTTCTACTTACATGATAGCCTGTATAACCTCTGGGTGGTGACTCATGCCTAAATAATCATTACTGCACCACACAGACACATCTCTCCTGAAATCTGAGGAGCAGTTGTCCGCCATTGGAAAACACACAGCGCTTCGGTTGATGGTCTTAAAAATCCTGTATGTGTGGTCATTCTTCTTGTTCTGAATCATCTTTGTGAAAAACTTGCCATAGTCAAAGGTCATATCTGTCCAAGATTTTAAAAATATATTATTTAGTAATAATAATTTATATTATTATTCAGTAACTGTTTAAACATTGTATTTTTATCGAGTTTATTGTTACCTAAAGATAGTTTGTTCTTCAGTAACTGTCCTTGTACAGAAGATTGTAGGTTGCAGTCCACATTTGCTGATCCTGCAGGATGATAGTTTTTTTTTTTTTTTTTTTTTTTGCCTTAAATTAACAACAGGTCCACAATACAAAACAACAATAGCAGAGTATACCATGCACATCTTCTTGTAGCTCTTTCCTGACTGCCAGGAAAGGACATTTTGAAGTAACATTTTGTTCATCTGCTACAACGCCACTCTCTGAGATAAAATATAGCATGATCAGTCAATTAAAATATACATAATGTTACCATGAACATACCATCATTTGTTTTTTTAGCAAATGCTGACAACGAACACAGAGCTTTGGCCTGAGGCTTGCATGATCGCTTCATCGTCAGTGGACACTTATTTGCAGAAGATTTTGTTGAAGATCTCCTAGTGACATGTGAAGCATTTGATCCAACTGTGAGAAAGGGGCACTTCTGGATTACTACATGCATTTGGGCAATCCGTATTCTGAAATGGAAAAAAAAAAAGTTTACATATGAGACATATTTAAGCCAAACATTATATTTTATACAGCAAAATATGTTACCTGGAAACATCCCAGTCTCCTTTGAAATAACTGCAGAAAATTGCCTTCCGAAACATGTCTGCCCACATTAAAATGAGGCACGGCACCTGTGAGAATGTTAATGAGAAAGGACCAGGACTGACTCACACACTCCACAGTCAGCTGGTCCTGACGTGCGGAAATAGGCAGGGCTCACAAGAGGAGGCTCTACTGCTGTAACTACTGCCCACGGAGAAGTGACAGAAGCCATCTGTCTGCTCTTCTAAAAGACCAGGCTGACATAAGACCAACTACATAACACACGTTATAAAACACCTTTGCCAACATGCATATTAATTCTGATGATATTGTAAACATGAATTATCCATGAGGCAGATTGCTTTCTAAACTAGCTCCCCAATATGTGTGTGCATTGTACGTACTTTCTTCATGTATAAAAAATGTATGCATGCATAAACTATCTTTATAAGGCTTGTTTTAACATGATCACAAATATATAATTGTAGAGGCATTGTTTTATTGAATCAAAACAATTTAACTTCAAAATGAATGACAGCAAATAAAATGTTTGTGAATGTTTGTTTGAAAGGTTATGCAAAACTCAATTTCTCAATTCCAGGAACAAAAACAAAGTAAAAACCATGACCAAAACTAAATCTACCAAAATGCTTTTCAATGTTAGCCCACAAGATGGAACCAAAGTGTTACACCCAGCCACCGTAGTGCAGCTTGTTGGGCAGGTAGATGCTGGTGAGAAAATCTGGGGCAATGGCGGACAGCGACTGGATCTCTGCCTTGACCTTAGTCTGCTGCATCAGTTCAATCTACAACCACAACAGATGATGTAAATACAGGTCAATAATATTTGTATTCTCTCACACACAAAATGACATTTCACATTATTAACTGACTGACTCATTTTAGTAGTCGACCGGTCAACAATTATTTACTAAATTAGTCAAACATATTTCTTTGAGATATATAGAATATAATAATATAATATTAATATATATTTTTTAATCAAATAAAGGTTGAAATATAATGACTTATTAATGTGCAATTACAGAAATATTTGTTTATTCTTATTTGACATTTTGATTTAATAATGTCGCAGTCTTTGTAATTCAATGGTTTTTTGACATGTAGTTTGGAGACAGTATACTCCACATAATGATTATTTAAACAATATATTAATACATTATATTTTAATAGTCAACTAAATCATGATTCCGATAAATCACTGAAACCCTACTTTGTTTTCTAACCTCTCTCTGCCAGTCCGGATGGTTTTTAAGATAGGGCCTTTTGAGGAGACTGCTGAGCTTGGTTTCATCCTTCTTCGTGAGAGGAATGAGACCATCTTCAGGAACCCGCAACCTGATCATCAAAAACGTATTCAACTGTGCAGTTCAGAGCTAGAGCCTCAACCAACTCAACTACTCTGCAGACTTAATGTATGTAAAATAGCACCTTTTATACTAAATCTGTTCAGAAAGATATACTTAAACTGCACTTAGAACGGGAAAAAACGTAGAGCAACAGCAACAGAAACCAAAACAAACAATTTAAATATCCCTAGAATATAATCCCAATTAGAGGCAGACAGAGGAAATAGGAAGTAGCAAATGTTGAGTCCAAACCTCTGGAGGTCAGAGGGGAGGAGGCCTAGCCACATAACGCTGGGGACGGTCAGACTGCGAGCCTCAAATGACATGGCCTGTGGAAAAACCCATGCAACACACACACTTACATATACAGAGATTCAAATGCAAAGCAGAGAGAATGGCTAAAATAAACACAACCCTCTATGCTGCATTATGTGGTTTTGGGCAACACATGTTCACAATATAGAAAATAAACAAAGATGATTACAAACAGTGGGGCAATGCCAGCCAATCATTCAACAATTTCACTGCATAAATGTCACTTTAAATAATCTGGACGAGATGATTGGTTTCTACTTAAAAAGGGGCATAATTATATAGTGCTTACAGACAGACAGACACTGAACAGGGCACAGTTAAGGACTCACTTTGGATCCATACTTGTAGATGCACATGATCTCAATGCCTGGGAAAGACACAGAAGCACCGCAATCACTGACATACCAGACCAATTACCCATACAGACGTGTAACTGGGTTTGGAGAACAAAGTAAAGCATTACACATGTGTCCCGCCATGCGAAGGGGAGGCAGAGGTAAGAAAGCTGAGCCATCCTGTGTTTGAGACAGACCACACCAGCGGAAACAAGAGCCAGACTAAGCACCGTGTCCAGGGCAGGTGCAAATGGTTTTGGGAGTCTTTAGTGACACATGCAGGCCCACAGTTTAAGATTATAAATTATTACAGTCAGTAGTTTTTATGTCCTGTTATAAAAATGCTATCAATTAATCATTTAATGAGTAAACAAGTAAACAATGTGCTTATGGATTTTATGTAATATTTTCATGGTAATAATACATATTTATTTGCTCAAGTCGGAATAATTGTGCTAATGAATGAATGAGTGAATGAATAATTACATATTATAGTAGCTAATACTGATTTGATTATGTGCAATTTATGTAGTTTAGCAATTTATTCAATATTGTTTAAAGGTCCTATATTATGCAACACTTAATCTTGTGAACTTTAACCCTTGTATATTGTTACCTCCTCAAAAACATACCTGGAGTTTTTTGTGTTTTGTTTCATTCACACAATCCTTTATTATTAGACTGTCTACATCTCCAAAGCTCAAGATGTTCTGTTCCACCTTGTGATGTCATGAAGCTGTAGTTTTCAAGTTAACAACAACCTTTTCACCTTTTGTTCAATAGGCATTGGCAACTCCAGGTTTGAAATCATTCAGATAATTCTAGTGAAGGTGTATGGGGTTTAAAAACAAAGTAGAGCACTTTCTGTAGTACTATACTACTACTTACTAATGTTTTCCGTTTGAGAGAAGACTGTGTGAATGAAACAAAACACAACCAGGTAACAACATTATAACAGTGATCAGAAACTAGCTTATTATGAGCAATTCAATATTGCTATTATTTGCTACTACTATTATTGTTTGAATTTTAGTACACTTCTATGTGCCCTTTGTTATGAAAAAATAATGTATATTGTAATTTGTGAGTTAATACAATTTCCCAGATTAATACAGTTTGTCTAATATGTGGCTAGGTTTATTTGGATCTTTATCTTTGATTAGGAAAGGCTATGAGGATTATATTTATTTGTGATAATTTAATATTTCAATATTTGGCATAAAATGGTTTTCTTGAACAATATTCCATTAAAAGTGTGATAATATTGCAGGTCTTGTATTATTGTACCGTAGGGATCAGCATCCACCAAAGCGAAGATGGGGATGTGCAGCGTGTCCCAGAGCTTTCTCACCATCAGCCGGCTGTTCACATCTGGGACTCCTTTGCCCTGATTCACACAAAACAAGCGCACCTGTTAGCCCACGCTGAACTACGCTGCATATTTACGACTAGAAGGTGGTCTGGTAAGGGAATTAGCTCACCGTAATCATGATACAAGGTGCAAGTTTGGTGCACAAGTTGTCGTCCAACAGTCTCTGAAATGTTGCATCTTTCTCAACAATCAAGACAAATTTGGCAGATGATACAATGTCTGTACAGTGTTAAGAAAAATAACATTTGTATTGTAGGGATTCATAATTCACAGCATATAATGTTCTCTTGTTCTCCTTTCAAACGATGAAAGGATACTTTTTATTCCACCAATGTTTGATGAAACAGGAAAGGCCTAGAAAAGCATGAACATATTTTATAATGGTTGTTTTTATGGGTTCCAACATGTGATAAAGTCATTGTTTCAGAGGTGGACAAGAACAGTATTTCTGTTTTGATTATTAAGCATTTTCATATGAAACCAAAAAGAAAATTCACAAATGTTACTCCAATTAACGACACCACAATATTAAAGAGGGGGTATTACACTTAACTGCTAAAATATAACATATTTAGATCACCATGTGGCCTTTTATTATTTTGAAAATACTATATTTGCCGAAAACAATGCATTCACATATTAGTTTTCAGTCTAAGAACTTACGCATGCATGGATGTCATATCTCATGTCTCATCATGCCTCTTTTGGCATTTTTTTGATCAGGGAACAGCATTATAACATGGCAGAAAACTCCAAAAAGTTTATTTTGCATAGTACCCTCTCTTTAATACAAATTTTACCATCTCCATTCAAAACTGGAGGGATATAGATTGCTATGATAGCATCAAGAATCCAGCAATACTGAATAGATACAGATGAAAATGTTACTTACTGCAGAGCGACAGTCAATTCTAGTCCTATCTTCTTCCAAATAGCAGAGGTCTCCTGTGATCAACCCTTTGGAAGTGGCCAACTTGCATGGAAAAGTGAACACACAGGTACTATGAATAAAAGTAACTACTTTACAACAGTCATGAACAAGCATAGTTCTGTTACCACATGCAAGGATCTCCGAGGAACTTTAAGCAAGCAGGAGATATCATCTACAATGTAATCCACTCTGGCCTGGGACCCAAACAGCTGTGTGTCATTGTAGTAGATGTCTCTGCGAGAATACAACATTTTATTTGCAAAGTTTCATCAACAGATTTTATAAGACTAATGGAATTTAAGTACCTCTTAGTAGCATATGAGTTGCTCAATATTAGTCTGTAAATTACAGAGAGGATTTTGACAATTTGTGCTGTAAACATAAAACAATACTGTTATTCAATTTCAACAGTTTTAACAATAGAACTTAACAATAGCACTTTTCTGTTTCCAATCACCAAATTCTTGTGGTGAACCAACTGTAAAGATCTGTTCAACATGTTTTTGTATGTTGTGAAATAGCGTTGTCTGTACTTCACTCAGATGGACTCTGTTGCTACAAGGAGTGAACGACTTTGGAAAGTATCTATTGGTGACAACAGTGGGATTTGCTATTTATTTTTCAGTCAAGATTTTGTTAAGAATCACATGAATTTAAACTAAACTACATGGTTTAGCATGCGTGAGTGGGTTTAATGCAGAGTAAGACCCCAATGAAACACAAGGCAAAAAACAATGATATACTAATTCTGAATTTAGTGAATTTTGACTTGGTTTCATTTGAGATATATACTGCAGGACTAATTTCTTCTCACCAAATTTTGTGATGGAGACCAGAGAGTCACATCTGACAGTAGTGAATGTGGTTTCTGGATTCATCTGAAGTCCAACACTACTGTCAAACCTGGAGCGAGACCAAAGAAAACTGAGAAGAAATATAAACAACTTGTGTGCAGAAGAAAATTAGATCCACTACCACCTGAAAGGCACCCAAAAATTCCCACCGCCTCCGGCAACCTGTATTTAAAAATGCTGAGCAAGAATGTGTTTTAAGTTGCAGGGAGGTTTGATTTAAACAAGACTAGACAGTGTGTTTGTTCTGAGCATACAACCTCAAAGTGTGTGCATTTCAGTCTCTTATCAGATCGTTCAAGGAGAAGGAAGCCATTTGATCTTAAAGCCTAATGCTAAAATTAGTGCTTTTACCACTTGGGTGTCTGCACAGGCTTGAGACGCCTCTTGATCAAATTGAGACAGAGCTGTGGAGTGCGTTTGAAGGACATTAAACATCATCTTGTGTGGCCTGACCTCCCAGAATGACAAATAAAGTAAACGTTTATTTATTTCTTTACACAACATGTCTGCTTGTGTTTATCTTTTAAAGACAGCGGCTTACATGTGTCCTATACAGTCAAGTGAAGCAGTGTTCAGGGTGGAGTCAGGACTTCAGTGTGTTGTTTATGATGGTACCTACCTGACATTGACCCAGGTGGACCTGTTGGGCAGGGACAGGACAGGCGCCTCCTCTTTAGACAGACTGGTCACAATCGTCAGGATGATGTTTTCAATCAGGCCTAAAATTTCACTGCTGCAAGGAAGAAAAAAATCGTTTTGCAACTATAGTGATGATCCTATCCTTTAGATTACTGCCAACCAAGGAGAACATTAATCCACTCTAACGCAATGGGAAATTGATAATATCTGACAAAATATGCAATACACTTACCTTAAAAAGATTGTACAAGTATTTGTCTACCAACTAATTAGGTGCGAGCTAATTCTCTTCATCCTGACTGACTCTAGTATTATACACTAGCATTCTCCGGACACTTTCTCACTTTCTCCTGCGATTACAATGTCATTTATTATAATGAGCCATGACTAGCTTAGCCTTTACTTACTCGCTGCGTTCTTCATCAACTCGGTGGACGGTCATGAGATCTGCATTGCTTAGCATCTGGGTACGAAGTTTGTCTATTTCAGAAAATAGTTCTGTAGCTTGATAAGCCATTGTTTTGCCAAAATCTGGATGTCGTTCCCGCGTTTGCACGTTTCAAAGGTGCAGCGTGCGTGTGCTCGTGCGTGCGCCGTTATCTGCCTGTTGACTGTGTCCAGTCCGTAGACTGTATATGGTCCAGTCACTAATCACTCAGCCAAGCACGGTTTACTGTGTATGTTGAATCAGACTTTTAAGGCTTTTATATTGTGTAGCATTTATCCTATGTAAGGTCGTTAATTTTCAATATTTTTTATGTTTGAAAAGAGAGAAACCATAGCTAGTCTCAAGTAGGCCCATTTAGCTTAGCTAGAGCAGACGAGCAGCAGCTACCTTTTTTTTTTTTTTTTTTTTAGCATACATCACAGTTGTCTTAATTACTAAAACTGCTCATTATATGATTATCATGTATTGTCTGCTTGACTACTATAAACCTTTGGCATTTTGTATAATTTAATTGTTAATTGTTAAAAATGAGTATGTACAGGATCCCCTGAGCAGGTCTTGCAGATGTCTTCATACCCAGTGCCCTCCTTCATCTTCAGGTTGGTAGTTCCACAGTGTGTGCCAGTGAGTGGTTTAGTGGGCTTACTTGAGCTTATTCTTTCGGTGCTTAGGGAAATCTCTTTGTGGTATTCAGTAATAAGACCCTTTACAAGAGCTTGTTGTTACATGTCCAAAGGTGTGTCTTCTGAAAGAGTGTGTGTGTTTTGGTTTGTGTCAGTGAATTCATGAGTTTGACTTAATCAAGATTTATGTCTGTAAATGCACTTAACCAATTTAGGTAGTTAGATACCAGCGACAATAATTAATCAGCCATAATAATAAAAATAAAAAAAAAAACAGTTTGTGCTTATAAACCTTTTATTTCCAGTTTGTCAAATCACTACTTACTTGACCTTGTTTTTAACATGACATATTACTTAACATATGTTATCTAAACAAATATATTATCCATAGCAGCTGGTTTGTAGATTTTTCAATCAGATTAATTGGTTGTAAGGTCTTGAAGAGGGTCTCAACATGATTGACCTCAGTATTTCAAAACTTGTGTACAGCCCTCATTATAGAGCAATCAATCACCCGCAGCACCCACCTTTAAGAGCTGTCAGTCGTGCTGTGTGTGTTTGCAGAGGCACTATAGTTTTTCTCTCTCAGTGTGAATACCTGGACTGAGTGTGTGGGAGCAGGATCTAAAGAGAAAAGGTCCATGGCCCCGACCTGACCCTGAATATTTCCTAATGAGCCGCTTTTCCTAAGGTCCTCTTCTCTCCCCTGAGTGACTTTGACAAGCTGCTTCCGTAGTAATGGCTCTTAATTTCTGAGTAATTGCTATCTCTGAGCAAGGAGCGACAACCCCTCACCCATGCTAAAACTAATGTTAACACAGGGGACCACAGGTTAGCTGGGTTCTTATGAAGTCGAGACCCCCGCTGCTCCTTTGGTCTAAAAGAGATTTGTGTGGAGTGTGAGGCCCTAACCTGAACAGACAGAGTGTGCCGAGTCATGCGCTTGTCTCGGGATGAGTGTTTGTTTCATGACCAAGGGGGGTACAGGGGGAAGTGGAAAGCTGTGGGGTCAGAGGAAAGGGAGTAGGGGGGCACCATGCTGCAGGTGAAGAGGATTAGCTGCTGCTAGAGGCCCAAAGAAACTAAATACAGATCTGTCAACCTAATCCTCACAAATAGAAAACAGAGGCGCCCTCCACTTCACAATCCACATAGTTCGGCACATCTACCTCCTGCTCCTGCCCCCGTCCCTCCCCTCTTTACTCTTTTTACCCCAGGCGGCTTCTCCTCTCTCTTCTGGTTCTCATCAGATTTTGGCCAGGACCTGTCTGCCTATGTCTCTAATGGCCTGGTATCTACTAAAGAGGAGCTGACTGATCACCTGGGCTCCTGTGTGATTGACAGCGCAACACAGCCTTATTGAGTGATCAGTGCAAGAGTCAAATGCAAGGAGGCAGTGAGTGCAGAGACAAACATCTAAATGGGACTATAGGGTCTAAAACTGCACATGGATGGAGCTTTATCAGGCTCTTGCACCTCAGTAATGGAGGGTGATAAGTATGTGGTGGGGAAAGGAGACCAGCGTTGTGTCAAGCCTAGAATCACACTGGTAACATCCATCTATGGATAAGGTAATATGTTGTGTTTGGGCTATTAAAGTAATCATAATAGTATTTTGACAAATATTAATGTTAACCGGACTATATTTAATTAAAAATGTATCTTAAATGCCTCAATGTACAACAGAAATAATGGTTTGCCTAGTCAACTAATAAAATAATTGTTATTTGCAGCCCTAATCCATGTCATAAAATTTGATGTCATAATTTCAGATGAAGAGAAGGGCCTCTATGGAAGAATCATTGTTTTTCAAAGAAATATGTTGAACGTTTGAATGATTGAATGCTCCAATTATTAATCATATGGCTTAGAGTTCTTTCAGCTGCATCTACAGGGTTGAATAATGACATCTCTTTCTGAAGCTATTGTAAAGAACAATTTCACTTCTGTTTATTTACGCTAACAAAGAATAAATTGAACTTTAAACTTTAAAGAGATATTAATCATTGATTATATCATTTTCTTAAGAAATATAGAGCAATAAGCTTAAGGTTGAGCATAACTTGAAGAAATTTCTGCCTGTAGGTGACACACTGGGTATAAGGAATAACTCCTGCCAACCACTGTGGGAGATGGATCAGATCCAAGCTACTGGACTCACTCAGCAGCCCAGTGAATTCAGGTATGAAAGGATAGAGACCACAGTGGCCTGGTATTGTAGAGCCGCTATTTCTTTAAAAAACATTACAAAAAAGGGAAATAAAATCATGAGCACAAAAGAAAGAATTATCAAAGTTATTTTAATTAGTAAATGAGTATTGGCAGCTGATGTACTTAAATGTGCTGCAATTCATATTCAAATGTACAAGATGCAAATCCATTCCATCTGGCTGTAATAGTGGAAAATACAATGTAATTAATGAATGAATTATTATTAAGTAAGATTTTATTTTTTACAACCATTAAAATGCAAAAGTATAAAAATAAACTAAACAGAAAACTATTTATGTTTGTTTACATTAAAACAAGGCATTTGAAAGCTGTATCCCACCCCCTCTCTCTTTCCTCCTCTGTCTCACAGATGTGCCTCGTATGTTCCTGAGGCCCCTGGAGTGTGAGACACCAGAAAGGAACATTAGCAACAGCTCAGCTCCACCTGGTGAGTCTGTTTAACAGGACACAGGTTGAGTAGTGGCTCATAGTGGAGTTTAGCTGTGGGCAGATTTGCACAGATGGAGCGAGAGAGGAAAGAATCTGCTCCTCCACCCTCTGCTGCCTGTGCACCTCCACCTCACACTGCTTTATGTGAGGGTCCTTTACTGTATGCTTTCCTCCTCCTCGTCTGTCTCCTGGGCTTCAAAGCTCTGCTCCTGCTGTTCTCTGGGGCAGCACATGAAATAAATATTAATCTGACCTCTGACCACATGCTCCCAGCTCCTAAACAGGGATAACTGGTGCAATGGGAGAAATGGGACTCTAGTCATATGATACAAAAGTTTTTTTTTTTGTGTAGAATCATTTACCATTATAACATGTGTTTTACAATGGCCAAGAGCCTACAAAATAAATCATTTTATTAGATAACTCTCAAAGGGGACATAACAATATATAACATAATATGTATGGGCTGTTAACCATGTTACAAATACGTTTCCTCATCTTCAGATTACTCAGAGTATTTAGATTGATTCATGCATGTTTGAGTAATAATACATTGTCTTGCTTTCAAGGCTTGAGTGCTCAAAAATTTATGTTTAAGACTATCCACTTCTCCACCCGCTGTCATGTTGACTTGTGATTTTTTAACAAAAAAGGTTTAATAAATCCTTCTGAAAAGGGTTTGCCTTCTTTTTTTTATCAGTTAGCAACATAACTAATTTAAATCATTTTGACACTAATAGTCTGGAATTTGGCTTTTTGTCATTTATCATTGTTGACAAAACCAAATATTGCATCATATTTTTGATTATAACTTTAATATTACACAGACTCAACTCAAACGCTACTTTGATCTACTTATTTGTTTGCAGCATGCCCAGCCGGCTTGTGCCCTGTGTTTACTGAGAGTGTCACTGCAGCCCATGGAGGTCCAAACAAAGAAGGGTCTGTTCCCTATTGTCCTGCCCAGAGCTGTCAGCCCCTCTTTGGGCACAGCCTCAGTGAAAGGCTGGGGTTGCTGGAGGATAAAACGGTTCGAGTTTGACCTCTCCAACTCATCAGCGATAAGAGAAAACGAGGTGAGGGATGACGAAAACGGGAGAGAAAGAGAAAGCATGCCCAATGTAAAGTTATGGCTGGATCCTTTTAAGTTCTCCGTCGGAAACTGCTGTAACGTAAACACCTGCGGCCATTAGCTGATTCAATCCAAGAGGCCGGATAGGGCTGTTTATATGTTACAGGCTACTACTGAAGAGCCGGTTAAGACAAAGTAGAGCATTAGGTATACACAGTGAGTGACGGTGGGCAATATGGGCTTTCAGGCTTTTAACCAGTGGAGTGTCTTTGAAGACCTCAAACGGGAAGGAAGGTGAGGTAAGTGCATAGGACCCCGACACAAGCTCTGACTCCCCTCTTCTGTTTGCAATCATGTCTTAAGCTGCCTGGCGGACTCCCCTAGCTGTGCCATTGAAGTCCAATTTTACTGTCATAAAAATCACCTGGCGAGCTGCAGGCCATAGACTGAAACATCTCAGTCACAAGTCAGACTTTAAGTTCTGGGCTAAGTTTTTTGTTGGCTATTGTTCCTTTGTGCTTGGGCCATCTGAAAGCCGTGCGTTAGTGTGGAGAGGGTCAAGAGCGCTCCATTAAAGTATGGTGTTTAAGAGGTGCTGGGGCCAGGGGGAGCAGCTGCCAAACATGTGCTCCCCTGCTCCGCATCTGCTCATTGTCTGTGCATCTTTTCCTGTGTCACAAAAATTCCCTACGCCCACACGCACAACTTCAAAAATGTCAATGAAGTAGCGCCATTTGGGCACCTTTAAATCATCAAATGTGTCAACCACGTGACCCATAAAGTCTGTTTGATCTTTCTGTGCACCTGCATACAAGCCCCATTGGCAACCACGTCTAGACTATTTATCCAATAACACAAATGATTGTTACTTTTTATTTTTTATAGTGCCTAACACCTGACCACTGTGAGAACTGAGTGACACCATGTGCGCTTTTATTAACTATTTTGAATAAAATTCCTTTCTAATCCACGTTGAATTTTGTGCACACTGCCCCAAGCCCTTTTCCAATCAACAACAAAAGTCAACTAACCACTATCTCCGTTTGAAAACCACAAATCCTCTCTCCCTCCCTCTGTCTGTTTTCCCTGCTCCTCCCAACTCAAAGCGCCTCCTCACAACTTGTTCTTACCTCTCCCGGTGTACACACGCTCCACTCTGTACCAGCGCTAGCCTCAGGTTGCGGATGAAGTCAGAGGTCTGCATAAATAGGCGAATGAAAGGGAATAGGTATCAACAAGTTAGTTTACGTTGATGCGTCATTTGGGTAACTTCTCCCAACATGCGGGAACCTAACTGAATATGGGACATTAAACACATGCTGCCAGTCGGTCCAAGTTCAACATCCACTTTGTCAGACTTTCGCCGAACTTAGCTGGAGCGCAATTACGCATGTTCACTATGGCACCGATGTTGGATAAACGTGGTCCTGCTTTGCTTTTAATCTGGAGCTATTGCGTCCTCGCGGATTCGGCGTTTACGAACTTTACTTTGGACAACGAGTTCCATTCAAGTTTCATCCACCGTCGTCTGAAGAGTCAGGAGCGCAGAGAGATGCAGCGGGAGATTCTGTCGATCCTGGGGCTGCCACACCGGCCGAGACCCCACCTGCACGGAAAACATAACGCTGCCCCCATGTTTATGTTGGACTTGTACAACGCCATAACCACAGATGTCGAGGACCGATACTCGTACCCCTACAAGCCCGTGTTCACCACGCAGGGGCCACCTATAGCCAGCCTCCAGGACAACAACTTCTTGAACGATGCAGATATGGTCATGAGCTTTGTCAATTTAGGTAAGGATATTTTCTATAACTATAAAACAAATCACTACTTTGTCAACTTAAAATATGGTGTTGTCTACATGATTACTATGCTGTGTAATCCTCACCTGCGCTCATAGCCTGTAGTAGAACATACAATGACCACGTTTCCATAACGTGGGTGCAGTTATCCCGCTAATATGCAGGAGTGTCACATTCCAGTGTTTTCTTCTCAAACAGCTGTGCAATCAGCTAAAAGTTCAGGTGCTGGAGCTTTGGATAGTGCACTAATATGTGAGCCACATGTTATCTAAAGAATGACCAAGTCAACAGCAGATAGGTTCAAAGTGCACTCTGCCTTCCTTAGACTACCTAAGGACATACTTTCTTAAATACACGTTATACTATTGGTTATCATATGCTGTAAATCTAAATACTTATGTCTTTAAGGCACATTCTTGGCAGTGTTCTTCGATGGCTCAATACCACTTCTATATTATCTTGATATTTCCACATAAAAGTTGTTATCATTGTGTTTATTGATGCCAAATGGCTTTAGGTGATATAATTGCTTAGAACAGCACTCGGAGGTTGTCAAGTGCAAATTATCAAAACATCAAATTGTTGTAGATAGTGAGATAAGCAAATGTACCTGTCAGCTTTAAAAAAATATTTTCTTTACACTAGATTAACTATGAATACCAATCACAATTTTGACATAAAATTGAATTTCTAAAGCAGAAAATTTGTATGTAATCTGAAGAAAACTCATTGTTGGGTCACGTTGGCTAGTAAGAGGGAGGTGACATTGGTTCTTTTAGTGCAGAGTGTAATTACTGAGGGAGCTACTGCATTGTGACTATTTTTGACAGGCTGTGACACAGATGGATTTGACCACAGAGGCTCAAAGTCAAGAGCTTGTGTTGTAGAGGAGAGCTTAAGAGAGGAAGTATATGTAAAGGCATATAAGGACCCCATCCATTTACGAACAGAATATTTTGACAGCATTTATTCATGGAACATTGTTTTATAGTTATTCATAAGGAGTTAGATAGGCAGCTTTTTAACACAGGAATTGTTTGTAATGTTTTGTATATTTTTTATTCCCTTGTGAGACGATGTTGCCAGTGAAAAGAGGAGTTAATTGCTTGGTTTGTTCCAGAACCTATTGTGATAACTAATAAACAGTGGCAAAAAAGTCACAACTTTACATAAACTGTTGCTGCTGCTGTTGCTGAAAAATGGACAGTTTCATAGTGGATTTCCATTTTGGCTCAGTTTTGTTTTCCGTAAAATAAACGTGACAGCTGTTTAAATTTTCCCTCAAAATACCAATCCCGAGCTTCAGAGCCAGCCTGTATTAGTGAGACTTGTTCTTGTTCTTGTAAAATCTTACCTGCTTTCTTAAATTTGTGTTTTCATATTTTTGCCCCAGGGGAATAGAAAATGCTTTGATGTATTTTAATATGTTGCTCTTTTAAGAATACACAGATTTAACTGGACTAAAGCCATGTCTACATCTTCCATTGTGATTGCCAATTAGGAAGCACAGTCTTTGAGCTGCGGCCAGTGAGGGCGGGTGTGGGCTCTGGGACAGACCCCAGGCCAGGGACGTCCCCTCATTGAGTCACTTGACTTTAGGAGAGCCAGCTGTGTAAATGGCTTACAGCATACATCCAGAATGTACACGGCTAAATGCAACGCATGTCGCCATGACGCAGGGCGTGTGCAGGACATGCCACGATAGCACGCCAAGGTCTTAACACAACACATACTGCTAAGGTGGCATATTCCATAAATGAGAGCTGAGGTCAAAAGTTTAGTATTCCTGTGCTTGTTTACTGTAGCTAAGGCGCTCGTTTGTAAATATTCTTACATAAGACTTATATTAACCAGGGTCATCTGGCATAAGCCCCTAGCCACTGTGCATTAAGGCATTTCCTCTTTAACAAACCACAGCTTCCAGGCTTCTGGCTGCTCCTCCTGCCTGCCCACCACTTCATTCAGTTCCACTCACCCAAGTCAATCTTAGTGAGGCATGCTCACTCAGCCTAATGTAACTGCCTATTAAGTTGATCCCAAACCACAGAAAAGGCACATGCTTAGGATGACTGCTATCTGCATCCTGTGTGTTATTTTATGAGGAGGAACTTCGTCACCTTTATATACGTATGTAGCATTAGTCACTCAGTTTTATTTACTCTATTCTCATCCATGCAGTGAACATTTTTAGGAGGTCCACTATTGAATTTATGACGTCGTATTGCTATAAAGTTGTACATTGCCACATTTCTGCTGACACGTTTATGAGTAAGCACTAGCGATGTTTGCTTTGTTTCTTATGAGTATTCAGGGGAGGTTCTGCTGTAAATAAAACCATATAAATATCTAACCATTGACAAGCATATGCTATCCAGTTTTGTGTAATTGCAGTTCTGCTCCTGTTAATCCAGAGCAGATGTGGCGAATTTTACAGAAACGAGAAAACAAACATGTTGCCGGTGTTTTATTTATCTCAATGTTGTAATCCAGTATCAGCTAATGTGAGACAATGGATTTGTAATTGATGCATAACACAGTTTATGTGCACAATGAATCAGTGCCAATAGCTGGTCATTATCTTGTGTTGCCTGGGTGACCTGCCTGTGCACCACCTGTCTCAGTGCACCCACACCCCTTTATGGACTCCCTAGGGCTCACTCTGTTAAACAAGCATCCTCATTTTATTCACCATGATTAAGAACAAACATGGTCCTGGTTTGAGTCCAATTTAGTAGTGTTCTAATCTCGGTTTAGTCCTGGTTTAGTCCAGGTTTAGGTCTGGTTTAATTTCAATTTGGTCACTATTTGTTGTGGTGTATATGGGGATATGTTTAAGTATAAACACATAATGAATTTATATGTTTTTGACATGTAGCATAATTCACATTAATGTGAATTCACATATTTTAATTTGAGTCTATCCAAGTTGACTTAGGATTTAGACTAGAACTAGGTTTGGTCCTGTTCTATTCTGTCCGGTTCCTGTTCTGTCTTCTGAGTTTAGTCAGAATTAAGTTTGGTTTAAGGGTAGTTTAGGCCTTATCTAGACTTGTATTGGTTCTGTTTTAGGCCTGGTCTAGACCAGGTTTAGTCCCAGTTTAGTCTACTTTTGGACATGGTGTATATGTGGAAGTAAAAAAGTGAAAAAGTTCCTTTATCTCATAATTAACATATCTAAATGTTACATAAAACTTGAAACATGCATTACAGGGTTCATTAAAATTAAAAGAATAATTTAATATTCCTGGTGACAATAGCTAAAAGCAGTCTTCTGATTCTCTTCTCTACCCACCCTGGTTCTTGTTGCTCTTGCATTCCTCTCTACAGTGGTGCTGAGGTTAATACAGATGTTTCCCTGAAGGCCCGTACAGATGTGCTCAGAAACTTTATCTTTTCTGAGTCCAACAAGTCCCCTCGTCTTGACCTTTGACACCACCTCCAGTCTGTTCCTGATCAATATCTCCATGCATGAACAACATATGATACAACACCTCCCCTGTGCTCACCTCCCCAAATCAACATTGATGATGGTCACAAAGATCCCGGGTTTAATTAGTGAGATCCAATATGCTCCCTTCAGTGTTGCGTGATATTTGGTCTCCTGGCTTGTTCCTCCGGAGATTTGAAACTCCCGTGCTCAAAGACATAAAATATTTCAACACTTTCTCAAGTTCTTTTTGTGTTTTTCCACGCCCAACCCCCTGCACTTTTCACACGGAATCTTAAACTTTTCAAAATGTGTTATCTTTTATAATTAAAATCATCTGCTACATATTTTTCACATGAAGATGCAAAAATTTAGACCCAAAATATGTGATTTTATCTTGCTATATTTTTAAAGCTAACATCATTTTAATCTAAACAATGGAAGTGGAGAAGTGGTAGATAAACAAACAGTGCTACTTGATACTTATCCAGTTAGTTGTTGTACTAAGATTGGTTTTCTAATATTTATTCCATTGTATTCTTTTTGGTATCAAGTCTAGACATTTCTTTTTCATTTTCAGATAATATAAACTCAAGACTTCTGTTCGTCTTTTGTTTTTCTCTATCAGAAATGTCCTTGACCAGTTTTTTTCTTACTGGTTGTAATCACTTCTGTGCTCTCTCTCTCTCTCTCATTGGATAACTTTGCCTATGTGCTGTGGCGCATACTGCCACTGTGAAAAACACTTGTGGAGTTTGGCCAAAAGGAATGTTTCTGGAGCTAATTAGTGTTATTGAGTGCATGTTTTATGGCCTTCTGCTGGTCAGGGAGTGAATAGCAGTGCAAGAATGTTACTGTTGGTACAGATAGTCTTGCCATTTTTAAGGTAATATTTGAAAGCAACATGGATAATGGTGTAGCTTTCTGATGGAGGGTCTGCTAGCTGTTTTACTTGTAAAGAATGTTTCATATTATGACATTAGACTTATCTATGTGGTATTTATTACATTCATTTAAGATGTTTTTATTGATGAAAGAACAAATACCTTGAAAAAGTATTCTTAAGATATTCTTACTGTGAGCGGGGTCACCTCTCCACAGATCTAACCTGTAGAGTAGTCTGGTAGCACCTGCTTGTCTATGGAGCATGCTAGACAAAACAATAACATCTCCATAGAGAAGAGCAGGTGGTGAAACCTTCACCAAAAATGTTACATAGTGCACCTTTAGTTTATATTTCTATATTAACTTCAGTTTCAATATTTTGTGGTATTTAAAACTCCTTATGGCTATTATGTCTATTACTTACTTATGTAGACATAGCAACTGAATACATTTTTATTGTAATCTAACATGATATAAAATGAACTCTGAATTGAAACATTAACATTTAATTGTTTTAATTTGTAATTTATACTTGCTAAACTCTCATTTTTGTTGATATTGTTAAAATAAATCATTTGTAAGCTACAGTTACGTTTCATAGCAAAACATGTTTTTTCAGACTGTTAAATTCTTTAGTGTATTATTCTTTATTTGATAGTCACCTGTTGAGCCTGTGAGT